TTTTAAAAATTTTAAAATATTTAAATTTTTTCATAGGGAACCGAAAACTGTTTTCTCTCTCTTCTGTTTCTGTCATTGGGACCCACGCCAATGGGTATTATGGGAATAACATAATTATAAGGGTATGTTTTGAACTAACTTTTTTTTTTATTTTTGCAGGGGTATGCCTTGAAGTCTTTGTAGCATAATAGGGGTATTTTTGATAAAAGCCCGTTCTAATTAGATGGTTATTATCCGGAAGAAATTTATTTTTTTAGGAAACATTTAAACTTACAGTCAATGCGATCATATCGAAATATCTTAAAATTAAAAAACAAATTTAATATCACAGCAAATCGCAATCTTAATAACACGTTAATTTTGGTCAATTAGTGAAACTACTTATGTGTGTGTATATATATATATATATATATTTCTAATTAGATGGTTATTATCCGGAAGAAATTTATTTTTTTAGGAAACATTTAAACTTACAGTCAATGCGATCATATCGAAATATCTTAAAATTAAAAAACAAATTTAATATCACAGCAAATCGCAATCTTAATAACACGTTAATTTTGGTCAATTAGTGAAACTACTTATGTGTGTGTATATATATATATATATATATATCAACAGTCAATAGTATATTTAAGAAATTCCAAAAAAAATGTATATATTTACCAGAGTTATCATATGCTTGTGTTAATTAGGATTTCAAACTTCCTCTTTCTAAAAATATATTGAAGGAAACCAAAAAACAATGAAACATAAATAAAAAGAACGCTTGGTTCTTAGAATTCTGGCAATTTGTTTTGGTCTCTATGATCTGAGAGAGTACATGACACATTACAATATATTTGAACAAATAATAAAATTTTAAAAAATATAAAAATAGAATTTTAATAAAAAAATATATGGATCCTTATTAAAAACAATCTTTAAAAATTTGGGCTAATCAAATATCGACTAAACTAACGATTACAACTATGTCATGAACAAGATATGTGTTTCTAATGATTTGAATCCTTGTTTAATTTGAAAAAATGGTGAGTCCAAACCAGGATTGTACAGAATAACGACAAGTTTATACACAGTTAATTTTTCAAGAATAGACAATTTTTTTATGACTTCATTTTTTTTGCATCTATTTGTTGCACTTTCATTATATATATATATATATATATATATATATATATATATATATATATATATATATATATATGTATAACCATCAATATAAGTATAACTTGAAATTTGTTTCTCATTCTACAAAAGATATAAAGAAAACGTTATGCCTCACAAAAGTACAGAAAAAAAATATGGATATGATTTCCAGTGTTATGCAAAAAATTTATGATATATATCATAGTGAAAGGAATCATTACGACACCACATGTTAATACACACGGGCAATAGATTTCAGATTAAAAATATATTGTATCCATTTATTCATTAAGAATAATATATCATTTTTAAAAAATAATTAGTATCAGAAAGTTATTACCCTTATTAAGTGTAATAAAAAAGTTGTATTCAATCTTCAGTATTTATCTATATACATATATGGATACATGTTCTAGGAACAAACCAATTTTTTTTTTTTCAAGTTTTCTACTTACACCAAAAAAAAAACTTCTACTTAAAATTCAACATAAAAGACCATCAACTATTAATTTTACACAAAAAAAGACTATTAACTATATAAATTATTTAAAAAAATATTTCACTTTAAATTTATTATAAAAAAAATCACCAATTATTAATTATAAAAAATATTTTATCAATTATTAAAATATAAAAATATATATTAATATTTGAGACATTGCAAATTGAGTATATTTTATTGATTGTAAATATTATATTTAAAATTTTATTATATATTATTATTTTAGAGAATGTAAAGTATAAATTTAAATTGTTTTATATATTTATATAATAATTTTAATAAAAAATATCAACTATTTGAAATTATCAAATAATATTCTATTTTAAATATAGAAACCTATAACCAATCAAATTTTTTCAATTTACAACCTCTCAAATATTAATATATAATAAAATTTTAAATATAATATTCACAACCAATAAAATATAATGAATTTTAGATGCAACATTTGTATACAAATTTATTTTATAAAGATTGATATTTATAAATTTAAAATATTACGTTATAATAATTTAAATAAATATTATGTTTTTATTGTGATTTTTAGAATTATATAATTTATATATTTTTATTCAAATTTTATAGATTTTTATAATAAATTTGAAATAAAATATTTTTTGAATAATGTAGATAGATAATTAATTTTTTAAATTAAAATTAATAGTTGATGATTTTTTATAATAAATATAAGTGAAAGATTGTTTTAAAAAAATTATATAGTTAATGGTGTTTTTTGTTCAAAATTAATAGTTGGTGGTTTTTTATGATGAATTTTAATTAGAAGTTTTTTTGTGTGTAGATAGAAAATTTGAAGTTTTTTTTTTTTGGTTTGTCCCTAAATTTTATCCAGACATTTAAAACCTGTAAGTGATTATCACATCTTAAATTATATTTAATATTAAATTTAATCAATAATCAATAAAACCCAAACAAATTAATTTTAAAGTTCGAACATGCATAAATATTTGGAAAACATGCTCGAAGGTCAGACTAAAATTAATTTTTACATAGCTAAATATACTTAAAACAAATATTTAACAAAAAAAGGCATATAGATATTAAACTTGAAAAGTTTAAATTAATTTCAAAATATTACCCATACATACTCATAGGCCATATGCTTGAATAGTCAATTCTTATACTTTTGAAATTCAACTTATCGACTAATAACGTATACTCAGTGAGTTAGAAAAAGATGAGAGAAGAAGATTTAGAAGATCTAATCAAGATAGATCCTATATGTAGGAGTTTATCTCTTCCAACTAAATTATTATCTCTAATTAACATATAAATTATTATCTTTAACAATTAATTTCAAGTAACAAATATATCAAGCCAAAATATAATTAAAATCCCACTCCAAAGCTGAAAACACCAAAAAAAAACTTTTAATTACGGAGAAGCGGTAAAGCTCGCATCGATAGCAACATGCAACAGACACCTACCATGCAGTTCCCGCAACCCTTCAGCGGCTTCAAAAGGTTATCGGAAGACAGTCCTGCCGCCGGTAATGGCGATGATTCCTATTGCAGTAAACGTCAACATCTACCAGCTGCAGGCTGGAAGTTTGTGCCGAACGATGAGGAGCTCGTGTTTTCCTACTTAAAACCTAAGATCGAGCAGAAGCCCTTGCCTGTGGGTCACAAGATCCTGAACGTTAACATCTACAATCATCACCCCGATACACTCTCAGGTAATTTCTCTTTCTTTTTTAGATTCCTGGTTTAACATTCATGCCAGGATATAAGAAATATTTGACGAAATATTAGGGTTTTTGAACTGTTCATCCCTATGAATCAATCAATCGTGGGTTTTTTTTTTTCTTCCTCATCTCTTTAGTTGTGAACTTTTGGTATGGTTTTGTATGTCATACGCAAACAGCGGAATACGAAAAGGGTAACGACGTAGAGTGGTTCTTCTTCACGCCGAGAGACAAGAAGTATCCGAAAGGTGAGCGCCCGAACCGAAAGGCGATCGGAGGATTTTGGAAGGCGTCGGGAAAATATGAAGGGATCTATTTTAAGGGGCAGGAGATTGGCAAGAAGAGATCGCTGGTTTTCCACAACGGAGTTTCTCCGAACGGCGAAAGAACCGACTGGCTGATGAAAGAATACTGCTGCACAGCTGCTACTCCTCCTCCTAGCAAGAAAACCGATGAAGAAAATAAGACGCAGGTTCGTGTTTTGATCGATCTCTTAGTTAATTTATACCGGGTGTAAGAGATGGATTTCGTTTGTGATCCTGATTCACTCTTGGCCTGCAGCTTGACTACGTTTTGTGCAAGATTTATAAGAAAAAGGCGCCGAAAAACAATGCACATCAAGGCAATAACGATGGAGAAAACCGTGATGTTTTGCCGGATAATCCTCCTAATAATGGCGATCATCAACCAGCTCCCATTGATCAACAAATTCAGCCGCTGCCTCAGAGTCCGGTGATGAACTCTATGTTCACGGAGAATCCGTATTATAATACGTTTAACCCTATGGTCATGGAGAATCCGTATTATGATACGTTTAACCCTACGTTCATGGAGAATCCGTATTATAATACGCTTAGCCCTATGGTCATGGAGAACCCTATGTTCGGAGATGATGATATAAACAGCTCATGGAGCTTACAAACGGCGCCATCCATTGAGCAATTGGATCAATTTTACAGTGATCAGGACAATGGCCTTTTCCATGACGGAAACGTCGAATCCCAGAATAACGGAAACGTTGGCCTTTTCCGTGACGGAAACGTTGCAAGGGGGACACCGCAAGGAAGTGGCAACAATGAAACGGATGATAACGGCGATGACTCCGACAGTGAATCATGACCATCAGAGGATGCACGTTGGGCAATCTTTAGTTACGACTTGAGATGATCAATATGTAGTTTAAAACACTCTTTTGAGTTGTAACGGCATGTCTGGATGTTTTCTTTGTCGTATTGAACTTGGGCTTTAGTTTTTGGTTAATCTTTAGTCAACGTTAGAGATTACAGCCTTTAAAGATTTAAGGGAGAGAAGTGAAACCCTAACTTTCTATAGATATGAATATACTGTATACACACGCGTACGTAGATACATATGGAAGTGTTCTTTCATCAGCCAGTGGGTTTTCTCCGTTACATTTTTTCATAATCCTCTTTTTCATATATATATGTCACGCAAAACCATACCAAAAGCTCTCACAACTAATAGACGAGGGAAAAAAACACCCACGATTGATTCATAAGGAAGAACAGTTCGAAAATCCAGAATTTCGGGATCCGCTTCGGTCGCACTGGCACGCGATCGGTTGGGCATGATTTCTTGCCAAATGCAACGTATTGAAATTGGGTATTTGAAAAGCGTATTTTACAAAGAAAGGAATGTAGAAGAATATAAGAGGCAAACTGTACGGACTCTTCAATTTCAAGTTTCAAAGGCACACGTGTCGTTAAGTATCTTGGAGCGCCAAGAGCGTATCGAGTAGAGTGTCTTCTTGAGTTTCTTGGCCACCAAGAAACCGTAAACGTTGCGGTTTTAAAAACCTTAATTATTATTATTATTGTTTGCATAAACTGGAGATCAAAACTCCCTAGTTATCTTGCACGTGTTAATCGCTTTCCTCCTGCACGTGGAGATGGTAATTGATTACATCAAATCTAATGAAACCCTATTCCTAATGTGCTGAATGTATTATACATAAGTTGGATTGGTCACTGAATGGTCGCCCTCATAGCCTTAAAATATCCAAAAGTAACTGACCAAACCTAAATTATCTGAGTTTTGCTTCAACTAGCATTATTATGTCCGATATAATATATTATTAATTTTAATGGTAACACATGTTTTATTTGTGTTCGACCGTTCGTGAATAAATATTTAGCTAGTCATATTAATTGAAATGGTTTCAGACTAAAAAACAAACAACAATAGATTTAAAAACACCAAACCAAAAACCAAAAGCATTAGGGGTGGCTGGCTTATATTCATATTCAATTATTTGGTCTGAGATAAATTATAACCGTTAGGTTTTCATAAATATATAATTTGATTTGGTTATGATTTTTATTAAAAAAAAAGATAGTCTTTTTCTTAAAAAAAATTCTTTTGCTTTTTCGATTACTTTTTTTATTCAGTTGGCTTTATTTGATTTTAGAAAAATCAAAACCATTCGATTTTTATATTCAAATCGATTCAAGTTATTTAACAAAATAAGTCAACCCTAGCATAAACCATTTTAGCCTATTGGTGCAGTGTTGAATAGGAGAAGAACTATTCGGTTCATGTAGAAATATATCCATGTGTCTGAGCATGATTGGAGAGTAGTACGGAAACTGCCGCTGAGTAGGAAAACTCGAATATCTGAAGAATCATTCACCGATACAATATTCTCCAACAGAACCTTTTCCATTTTTGCATCTCGGAGTTTTTTTAATAAGCTACAAGAACTGATAGAAGACAGGCGGCTGAAGTTGTTGTTCAACGGCATCAGGAGGATTATCCGACAAAACATCATCGGCCTGATGTTTTCGTCCCTTGTCACCGCTTCCTTGCGCGTTCTTTGTCTTATAAATCTTGCACAGAACGTAGTCAAGCTGGCCATTGCAATTGAATCAGTACCACATCATAGTTAGTTCATCTTTATATACCCAGTATAAGCTAAGAGAAGATCAAAACACAAACCCGCATGCTTTTTCCTTTCTCTGTTTCTTGGCGAGGAGGAGGAGCAGCAACTGTGCAGCAGTATTCCTTCATCAGCCACTTGGTGCTTTCGCCATTCGGAGGAACTCCGTTGCAGAAAACCATCGATCTCTTCTTACCAACCACTCGCTCATTGGAAAAGACGTCCTCATATTTTGCCCATGTCCTCCAATATCCTCCCAACGCCTTTCGACAGCTTGGGCGACCATCATTCCGCTTCCTCTTGCCCCTTGGCGTAAAGAAGAACCACTCTTCATCGTTACATTTCTCATATTCCTCTACACAAAACCATACCAAAAGTTTACAACTAAGAGACGACGGTTGATTCATAAGAGGAAGAAATTTTCGAAAACCCTAACTAGGTCGAATATTTCTTACATCCGCAACGCAACACTTATTCGTAAATGTTAAATCGAGAATAGTAATTACCCGAGAGCCTATCAGGATGAGAGTCGTAGATATTGACTTCAAGGATCTTGTTCATAGGCAAGGGCTTGTTCTCTATCCTCGGTTTCAAGTAACAAACTATTAGCTCCTCATCGGTCGGCAAAAATCTAAAACCACGTGGAAATTTACTGATGAAATCATCATCATTATGACGGCCGTCATCATCGCCGTTACCGTCGTCATGGTCGTCATCATTGTCATCGTCACCATTAGGAGGATCATTGCCTTGTAGTGCATTATTTTTGGGTACCTTTTTCTTATAAATCTTGCACAAAACATAGTCGAGCTGGCCAGAATGAAACAAGATACAAATGAATCAAGATCACAACATAATAATGCATCTTTGTACAAAGAGAAGATCAACCCACAAACCTGCTTTCTACTTTCTTGATCTGTTTCCTGGCGAGTAGGAGGAATAGCAACTGTGCAGCAGTATTCTTTCATCAGCCAGCCAGGTTTTTCGTCATTCGGAGGATCTCCGTTGTGGAAAACCATTGATCTCTTCGTACCAATCTTTTGCTCATTAAAATAGACCTCACGTTTTCCTGTTGCCCTCCAGTGTCCTCCAAACGCCTTTCGCTTCCGGCGGCCACTGTTATGAGACTTGTTGTCCATCCGCGTAAAGAAGAACCACTCTTCATCGTTACATTTCTTACGTTTCGCTACACAAAAACCATATACCAAAAGTTTACAACTAAGAGACGACGATTGATTAATATGAGGAAGAATATGTTCAAAAACCCCAACTAGCTCGAACACTTTTCCATGGACGTTAAATCAAGAATCTGACAAGAAGATTACCTGAGAGTGTATCGGGATGGTAGTCGTAGATGTCGACGTCCACAATCATGTCCATAGGCAAGGGCTTCTGCTCTATCTTCGGTTTCAAGTAAAAAAACACGAGCTCTTCATCGGTCGGCGAAAACCTCCAACCACGTGGAAATCTACTGAGAGAATCAAGAATTTCGGGATCTGCTCCAATCGCACTGGGACGCAATCGGTTGAGCATGATTTCTTGCCAAATCGAAACTGTATTTTATAAAGAAAGCGATTTAGAACGAATGTAAGAGTCAAAACAGTACGGAATCTTCAGTTCAGTTGTCGATGATTCAAGTCTCATCAATCTTGAATTTTGTTCGGTGAAGAGTCGAAGTTTCAAAGCGACTTGGCCATCAAGAAACCGAAAATGGTGCTGACGGCGTTAATTTTCGCTGATGCGGACATGACGTGGTAAGCCACGTCAAATACCACATTACCCGTTTTTTAATTAAAATTTCTGGTCTGACCGGTTTTTTATTATCAAACCAAATTAAATCTGTTTAATAAACCGAATCCAAAAATTAACCTAATAGGCTAATACTGTGGTAAAAAGAAGGTACCGGTTTCGCTGAGGCTTTACCTTGTGATCGGAGGAGAGAGGGATGGGCCGTTACGGCAGAGGACGGAGCGGGAGTCACCGCAGTTGGAGACGACGATCTTCTCCGGTGAGACGACGACGGTTGATTCGACTGCGTCGCACCGAGGAGACTGAAGCTCGCATCTGTACTGTCTGCTCTGTTGGAGTTTATTCGGCTGACTTCCTTATCCATTTTCAGGAAGCTCTTCGCCATCGTCTCCGTCCACTCCTCGGCCATGGAAACTTCGAAGTCCCGCTTCACTATCTCATACAACTGCTCTCGGCACTTTTCAGCCACATGAGAGCAGCCATGACCGTCGAATACTCCGAAGAAATGAGGATTGTCAGAGTTTTTCCGGTAAAACGAATGATGAATCGATACCGCATCTTCCATATCTCTTCTCCTCCCCCAAGCCGATGCCATTTCGAACTTAGGCTCATCGGAAACAAAACCGGTCTCTACTTCAACAGCCAACCGTTCCGACTCCATATCTCGCTCCGACGACGGAGAAGAAGACGACAAGATGCCGGAGACGGAGTCCCGCACTTTTGTCTTTTTCGGCAGCTCTCCATCGGCGGAGCAATTATCGATTCGGCGACTAACTTGACCGACAGAAGCAGATCCAGCCTCCTCCGCTTCGAGCCCCGTTAAATCGACTCCACCGGCCCCCCAGTTTTGTCTCCCTGACAACAAAACAGCAATTTCCCGACGAATTGAAACTCTGATCGGAAAAAATATCAAGTTGACTTTTACAACAATATTAGGTTAATTTTTGGATTCGGTTTATGAAACTGATTTCTGATCGATGATAAATAACCGGCCAAACCAGAAATTTCAATTAAAAGGAATTTTAATTAAAAAAACAGTAAATGTATGTGGCATCTGACCTAGGAAGCCACGTCATTCCACATAATCAAAATTTTGTGGTATATTTGGACTATTTGAAATTATATTTTCCAAAGAGAAGAAATTAGAACGAATTTACGAGTTTTCTTTTATTATTTAAACATGATTTTTTTGGAATATACTATAGTGCAGATTAAAGATTATATTTTTTAAAAATATTATTAGTTTTAAAATTAAATATAATATATTTTGTTTTTGATTTTATAATTTATATTCTGATTTTTTTGAAAATTTTAAGATAAAGAAATGTTGTATTTTTTTTGAAAATCAATTATAAATAATTTATATTAATTTTTAATATAAAATCAATGTTTTTTTTGTTTATATACCCGACTGCCGCACTAAAAATATATACAGGTTTTATACATTATTATTATTAGTTTTGAAGCTAAATATAATATATATTTTTTAATTTATAATTTATATTATTAAATCAAATTAGAAATATTTTGAAAATGTCGAGATTAGTGATATATTTTTTCGATGAGATAATGTGAACAACTTTGATAAGTTTTTTAAAACACTTTTAAAACCCACAATTCTTCGAGTTTGTGTCTGACTCTACCATTTTAACACCCCTACAAAAATCTAGTGATATCTATGGAACTCTTATACAACCAAACTCATATTTCATATTATCTCCCATTAAAAGCCTAACAGTTTCTACCGTTTTTGTTAGACCCATTTTAAATTTATAAAAATTAATACAAATATCAATAAAAATTATTTATTATATTCTAACTATATTTATAAAAAATCGAAACATTAATAATCAATACTTATGTATTTATTTTTCAAAGTAATATAATATGTATTATGGAATTGAAATACTACATTCATTTTTATAGAAAAATTATCCTAAAATGACATTTGTTAGAAAATCCAAAAACAATTATAATAAACATATCATATTACTTTCGACAACAACACATTATATCATATTGGATATAGCATTTACAAATAAAAATATCATTATATTTTCGTATAAATACATATGTTCATCATCTAAAATTCTAAGTTGTTTGATAAAAATATGTAATAATTATAAATTTGAGAAGATGATAGTATTTTCTTTTGGCGATAGTTAAAAATAATCTTTAAATACAAATTGGTTCACATGAAATATCTTTTTAGTACTTTAACAAAAATAATATCTTTTTAGTACATTGTGCTTGCTAACTTTGCTATTATTTTTGTAGTGGCCTCACTTGCATGAGTATTTTTTTTAAGGGAAAATGACATTTTCCTACCCGAACTGTTTAAAATGTGACTTTTTCCTACACGAACTTTTAATTTGATAAAAAACTACACCAAATTATCAAATGTACCAAATTGATACACGAACTATTCAATTTAACTGCAATTTCCTACACAATCCGAATTTGATGTTAAATGTCCGTTAACTGATGACGTGGCATGCCACGTGGCGTCCGACATGGCATGCCACGTGGCGTCCGACATGGCACGCCACATGGAAAATTTTGTCACGTCACAATGCCACGTCAAATTTAAAAAAAAAATCCGAAAAAATCTGAAAAATTTTGAAAAAATTTAAAAAATATATATATGCTCTTATATAAAAATCTATATACTTCTATTTAAAATATATATATATACTCCTACATATATATTTATATCTATATACAAATAAAAATATAAATATATATACTCCTATATAAAAATATATCTATATATATACAAAATAAAACATATACACATATATATATACTAACATCTATACAAATATATACATATACATACAAACAAATATATTTATATATATACACATACATATATATAAATATATATACATATGCATATATATACATACATACATACATACAAAATAAAAAATACATATATATATATATATATATTCATATCCACATACAAATACAAATATAAACATAAATACTCTTATGTATATATATGTCTATATATATCAAATAAAAAATATACACATATATACCAATATATATACATACATACATACAAGTATATTTATATATATACACATACATATATATAAATACATATACACGTATATATGTATGTATATATATATATACATATGTATATATATATGTACATACATGTATATATACAAAATAATATATATATATATATCCACATACAAATACAAATATAAACATAAATACTCCTATGTATATATATGTCTATATATATCAAATAAAAAATATACACATATACATGCATTTATACCAATATATATACATACATACATACAAGTATATTTATATATATACACATACATATATATAAATACATATACACGTATATATGTATGTATATATATATATACATATGTATATATATATGTACATACATGTATATATACAAAATAATATATATATATATATCCACATACAAATACAAATATAAACATAAATACTCCTATGTATATATATGTCTATATATATCAAATAAAAAATATACATATATATACATGCATTTATACCAATATATATTTATATATGTACACATACATATATATAAATACATATACACGTATATATGTATGTATATATATACATATGTATATATATATATATGTACATACATACAAAATAATATATATATATATATATATCCACATACAAATACAAATATAAACATAAATACTCCTATGTATATATATGTCTATATATATCAAATAAAAAATATACACATATATACTTGCATTTATATCAATATATATACATACATACATACAAATATATTTATATATATACACATACATATATATAAATACATATACACGTATATATATATATATGTATATATATACATATGTATATATATATATATGTACATACATACATACAAAATAATATATATATATATCATTTTTATTTTTATATATTTTTTTGTAATTTTTCGGAGTTTTTGTATTTTTATAAAAATCTGATGTGACATATTGACATGGCAAAATTTTCTATGTGGCGTGACATGTCAGACGCCACGTGGCATGCCACGTCATCGGTTAACGGACATTTAACACCGTTTTCGAATTGTGTAGGAAATTGCAGTTAAATTGGGTAGTTCGTGTATCAATTTGACACATTTGATAATTTGGTGTAGTTTTTTGTCAAATTAAAAGTTCGTGTAGGAAAAAGTCACATTTTAAACAATCCGTGTAGGAAAATGTCATTTTCTCTTTTTTTAATTCTAACTTTTATTTATTAAAAAACTACAATAACCAATCTAAAAATATCGATTTAATTAATTTATTTTTATTATTTGATGCATATTTTGTGATTTTATCCTACATAATATATTCCCAATCAGAAAAATATTACATTTACACATTATATTAAAACATTGATCATAAAAAAAATACAAAATATGTTCCACTGACCGCAATCATGTAAAGCATGATACTATGTAGATCAATCAAAGCCAAAGATATCAACAACAAAATCAAAAGTTGTTGGCATTTTCCATTTAAAGAAATTATAAATTTGATTTTATAAATATATTTTTAAACATTGAATACATCGACGATCATAAAAAAAATAAGACATGTACATTCTCCCGAAAAATATATTTATATAAAAAAACAAAATTTAATAGGATTGAATTTAAATTTAATAGTGTCAATTAATAAAAACATTTATAAAAAATCTAATAGTTTGACGATGAATTACGTATTCTCCACTATTTTATGAATATCTTTAATGTCTTATATTAATTATTTTGGAATAAGAATGGGTTTATTTTTTTTAGAATAATTGTTTCCAGTAATTATAAATATATTAATGAATAAATTGGAGAAGAAAATTAATGAATGTATTTAAATAAGAGTGATGACTTGATATTCCTCTCATGCATGAAATTAATTACTTAAGTTTTAACTCTTGATCTTCTATAATAGGACACGTGTCATTCACCTGTAAACTGAAACTTTATGATTACGAAACACATTAATCTGTCTCTTGAGGAATTACATCTCATTTTTTTCTCCTTTTAGAGTTTTATATATACTGGTTATTACCGTTGAAATAACGTTGACTCTCATATAATATATTATTATTTTAACAATGACACACAACACAAGTTGTATTTTTGTTTGTTAATAAATATTTAGCTAGTGATATTAATCGATTATTTGACTATAATTTTTTTTTCTAAACTATTTTCTATGACAATTCTACGTTTGATATTAAAAAAATCTTCAAATTAAACTAGATCTACATAAAATTTTAGATATTTGGAATGTCAAATAATTGATTCATATTTCTTGAGGAAAATATTAAAATTATTCGATCAATTAAGTTAATAAACAAAGCACGAAATATATATACATATCGTAAACCCATCCATTGAGAATCTTATACATCCTTTGATGTTCAAAACCTAAACCCATCGATTGTCGTTATTATGGTATTCGTTGTTGCCGGTGCCACTTCTCTGCACAATCCCCTCGACTGTGACGTCGTTTACGTCATTGAAAAGGGCATAGCTAGGAACATCGTAAAACTGGCCCATCAATGGATTAGTGAATGGTGTTGTTAAGCTCCATGTGTTGTTCATATTATACTCTGTGAACACTCCTTGATTCTCCATGGAAGAAGGGTTACGAGGGTGCGGATGAAAATATTCTTGATCAACTGGAGCGGGTCGATCTCCATTATCCGACAAAACATCCCCCACGGGGATTACAAGGCTATTTAGAAAGGTGGTTATTTCAAACAAATTCTACTTTGCAACGGTAACACCATAACGTAAAAAGCTCAGGTAACAACACGCACCACAAAATCCAAGAAAAACAAGAGAGAGAGAGAGAGAGAGAGAGAGAGAGATGCAAATATGAAGTAGACATCCATTTCATCAACAAACATTCCTAGTAAAATGTAAAATCCAGAAAGACCAAACCACACTTGGACACACGGAGGCCTATGTACCACAAGGTTTCCCCTTCTATTCATCAACCTGAGAGCTTCAACACCAATACCACTCTTTAAACCCAAAACAATGACGAGACCAAGTTCCCTTACTGCTGCTTTTAACCCATATATGGGTTACGAGCTGCAACTATATGCAGTCAACAGTGATGATATCATACCATAAAGGTACCAGCTGAAGAAATATGATATCACTGGAAAGCAAACCGAGAGAGCTAGATTTGTTTCTTTTTTTGACATTTCAGAAGAGGATAGAGAGGATTTCACTGCTTGGGACATCGAGCGGTGCCATAAATGGCCAACGAGGTATGACCCTGGTTTTACTGACACGGTCTAATATCTCCCCCATGGAGAAGGCGATTTTACTCCTATGAATTCCGCAGAGACCATACATGTGTCTTGTTACCACTATCTCTTCCACCAACATTCGCTGTCCTGGGTCTATATGCATAAAAAGGATGTTTTAAGATCATGCACGAGGACAGCATTCATGTTGTCTAAGCGACTATACAAAGAATGAATAGCATTACAAGAGAGTAAAGTGAAGGACAGGGGAAAAGGACTGTGAAGAAAAGTGACTTACCCTTCCAGTAGCAAGTACCCCCGCAAGAAGCCATGCCACAGATACTTCATCAGCAGAATAAGGCTCAGAGTTGGAGTTTGGTAGCAAACCATTGCGAAACATTCACTAAAATCATTCCCAATGACCTATCCATTAAACAAAAAAATTTCTCAATCAAAGAGAATTTGTCAAAACATTGATTATGCAAAGAGCTTAAAGTCTTGAAAGAGCCTAGCTTAACTAAAGCTAATCCCAAACCCATAAGCCAAGCTAGCATAAACATTCTATTCTTACCATGTTACTCTTTACTGATTTCACACAAAGTAACGACCTGGCAAGCTTGACTGCCCTTGATATTGCTCAGGGAGCTGAGCTGATTGCTGGTTTCCATTCACATGCTGCTGTTGCTGAAGTTGCTGATAAGTCTGCCACCCTTTCTGAATATCTGCTTGGACCTGCGATGTTGGAACTTGTTTTCCAGGGAAGGGGAAATTGACCATTCCGTTCATGCCATTGCTGGCACTCATATATTCAGCTTTCCCAGGAGAAGAGTAATTTAAAGAATTACTGAGCCCAACACCTCGGGCAGATTGAGGTTGATATCCGTCCAACCAGCTATAATCATCAACAAGTGGATTACTACCAGACAGATCTGAACTAGATATCGACTCCTTAGGTGCCTTAGAAGGGATTGGGTTGAAACCAGGCGGGGGCCCAAGATGCCTAATAGGTCTACTGATTGGACTTTTCCTTGTTAGAGAAGTTTGAACGCCCATGCAATCAGCAGTAATCCCAGAAGATGAAACAACATCAACTTTGGGTGCCAACGAAGCTTCAGGAGCCCGTGATTGAGGATATGGCACACCACCTATACCACTGACATTAAAGGACTGGTGAATGGGTAATGAATGGGTTGGGTAATAGGAAATGCCTTGATTTCCTTGCATCTCATTCCTCATCACATGACCATTACCCATAAGATTTAACCTTGTTAGGCTACAGGCAGCTTCTTCCGGTAACCATGTAGAAGCCTGTAACTGGGCTGGTGGAAGGTGTGCAATCTGTGATTGGGTTGATTTAAGGTGAGCGACCAGAGATTGTACTGGTTCTTGATGCATGAATTGTGCTTGAGACTGTTGAAGATGCCGAGCCTGCGTCTGAGTCGGCTGAAGATGTGCCAGAAGGTTAGACCCAACAACAGATACAGGTAACTGAAAACTCGGGCCGACATTGGCTTGTAATGGAAGATTGTCATGAGAAACTGAGCAAGAGCTACCCAAAGATTTCAGATCCTCCACAGAAGCACATTGGCCAGGTTTTCTTATGCCCCCATTTGGCGCATATATCTGATCAGGAGCTCCTATTCTCTTCTCAGAAGCCATAGGCTTGAAAACAATCACTTCATCATCATCATCCTCGTCCAGATAAGGCTGTTGATCTTGTTGCATCTTTGAAAAATTCAGATCCATGATCACATGATTATCTTGCAGTGTGTTATTGGCTTCTGGTGGATGTGAATGAGAATCTAGCAAGAAATCATCTGATGGTTTTACACCAACCAAAAATTTCTTCTTCCTTGAGTCAAAATACACAGAATTCTGATCTATTTTTATCACACTGGCCAAAGCTTTTCCTGCTGCCAGAATTCTCCTGATACGGGCTTTCTTTTCTTTGGGGCCTTCACTTCCAAAGGAATGATTCCTGGAAAAGTCAAGAATGGTATGAGCAGGAAGCAATGGCAAGAATCCTCTTAGTTCATAGTCCTCCAACAAAGCAAGTCTGTTTTCAGTTTCCCTTTCATCATATTTGCTCATGTTTGAAAAGCAAGTCTCATCTTCATCATCTTCATCGATGAACATTGGCCCAAGTGACAATATTCGGTTAAAAAAGGTAACACACTGGTTCCAAAAGTTAGACCGAACAACATTCTCTGTCTCATCTGGATCACTGGCCACAACAATTTCAGGGTAACAGGCCAGCCATTCAACAAAGACTAGGACACCAGGCAAGAAGTAACTTGATGGAGGATCACGAAGCTGTGCACATCGGTCTATTACTCGTCCAAGTAACTCAAAACTTGCTGTTAATGCATTTTTGGAAAGCACAGCACGCTGCACAATTTCTGCATATGTCTGACCTTCTGTTTCTTTCTTTGAATTATGAACACTGAATACCAGAATTGCCACAAGTCTAACAATGAAACGTGCATTGTCCGTGGCATCTGCACCAATATTAAACTCCTCCTCTGGGCCTGAAGAAAGCAGCTCTTGTAAACTGCTGATAGTGGAGTCAAGAACTTCGGAGAACATCTCCAGGCTGAAAAGAAACACTAAATATAATACCAGACCAGAAAGCCAGTAATTGACACTAGAAAACAGAACATCAATTGTTACCTTGTACAAGTGAAAAGAATCCCGTTAAGGCGGACAAATCTAGTGCAAAATGTTTTGAGCATCTCATTTGGATTGGGTACTTTATCCTTCTCAGGACCATCTACCAAGTTTGCATCTTTCAATGAAAGATCTTCCCTTTTGCTTCTTCCTTTTCCATTCAGCTTCCTAAATGAATCCTCAACCGTCATAAGCAGCTGAGTGTAATTCTGACGATTCTGCTCAACATCAAAAACAGAAAGAAGGTTGAGACAAACTCGTATGTCAAGCAAATGACAGAAAAGAACAATATCATATATCAGCAAAATAATGTAACACTGTAACAGAATTTTCAAAATGGGGGAATCCAGCCGAACTGGGTTAACCTTAAATAGCATGCTGTAACTATCAGAACCAAACACAATCAGGTGCCCTTATATCATCACCAATAAGATACAATTTCTAGAACACTTTTTAAGTTATAAAAAAACTTGAACATGAAAAGCCAGAAGAAAAAAAAATTACATGACCACATCATGGTGCTAGATAGCCAGAAAAACCTAGGCTAAGGTCCAAGAGACCTACTAACTAATACATCAACCTTTCAGCAAAATTATGAAAAATAAGTTTTGCATGGGAACCTTTTCAAATGCAACAATCAAGTTATCACGGGCAGTAGGGAAGGGGCTCTCCAAGGCCAAACTCCGGAAATAACGATATATAGCAGCCAACTCATCCCCTGAATAAGAGGCTATTATAGCAAGCTGAAACATCAAGCAATTATAATTAGATAAAAAAAAGAGCCATATAACTGCTGCAACTGTCTCCCCAACATCATGAGGAAGGAAGATCAAAACTGCAGAAAAACCTGATGATGTGGGTTTCCACTGGCTGGCAATAAGGAAGCAGCTTGCAAATAGTAACTTGAAGCTGCAGCATACTCTCGGTGCTTAGAATCCCCCTCCCCGTATAGTCCTTTATACCGGGCAAGGTCACCCAGGTATATTAAGGACCGGTGGCAAGACACCAATGCTTTCGTAACTTCTGCTGACTTCTCTAGATCCTCAGAGAAATACCCCAAGGGGAGACCATATTTTGATCTAATTTTTAAAATCAGATCATGGTAAAAGCCAGTTGCTTCTGATAGGAATGTTTTAAACTGTAGTCTGAGCTTTGCAGTTCGGTCAGGTCTGATGGGGGCTTTGACATTTTGGGGTGAATTTGAACTGCTAGAAGACAAGAGATTGAAGTGTGCCCTAAACTCTTCAATTCTTTTGTAATGCAACTGCCATAAAGTATACTCGATGTTTTGCTGCTCAGAAAAAGTATGATCCTTAAGAATTATTGCTTCATAATTCTCACGAATTTGCTGCCACACATTTGGATCAGATGGAAGTCGAGCCTGGGCAGCCTTCCGACGCTTACTTTCCAACTCGACAGTCTGCAGAAAGCTGGCATTGTCATTTTCATGTAGTGCACAATTTAACAGAGCACAGTACCAGAGACGACGAAAAAAAACCTATATTACTCTACAGGATGGATAAAGACAAAAGAAGGTAACAATTGAAAGCTATAGAAGCTATTCTTCCACAACATAAATCTAAAATTTCGTAGTAATAAGGAAAGTAGTTTGAATGAAAACTAAAAAACCTTATCGAGTATGGATTGGGCATGCTCCCTTGACGAAGGAGCAGATGTCTTATTCATCTGCACGATAATCATTCACCAAACTCATCAATACTTTTTCACCTGAAACCTACAAATTTCAAGGAAAATAAAGCCAAAACCTCAGCAGAAAAGAGGAAAGGTTACGCTCAGAGAGACACTCGATGGTCTTCAGATAAATACTTCCTGACAAATAATACAAGCTATATCTATCGCGAGCATAATAGTTCCAATGAAGCATATTGTGGCAAAACATAGAGAAATCATGGCAAATCCAGTTGAGATTGTCGGAAAAATACAACTGAATTTCAACCAACGTCTAGAAGAACAAAAATGAAAGAAGAATGGTGCTAAAGGAGCCCGAAACAAGATAACTAATTCAAGTAAAAACTGAAAATTTAATCATGATCTCTAAGCAAATACCAAACAGTAAACATAAAACCACAAATTCTACAGAAAAATTTCGACTTGCAGATCAAGAAAAAGAACAAGAGAACCGAGAAGACACCATCTTCGTTTCCTTTTACACATAATGAGCATCCACATTCATCAATCAACAAGAACACGCATCAAATCGGGAAACCCCCCAAAAAAGACCACAGAAATCAAACTACATGACGATCAATAACAACAACAAACAAGGTAAAATCCCCAAAAATCGAAACGATTGAGAAGAAGAAATCTCACCGGAACAACTGGATCTGCAAATGACCAATCCGAGATTAAGCATCGGAAGGAAAAACCAGACGGTGGAGAGAGAAAATTAGGGCTTTTTTTCCTCTTAGAGAGAAAGAGACGATGGTATCGTACAATGCCTTTGGAGGAATATCGTCAACCCTTTTTCTTAAATTTAGAGAGCGATAAATTTTTTTTATATATTTGATTAAAAAAAGAAAAAAAAAAGTGTTTTCCCAAGGACTAGAAACGACAGCGTTTCTGATCTGTGAAGACTTTTTTGTTCGTCTTCTAGAAAAACGACAGCGTTTCCGATCATGTTTTTATTTGTAAGACAATTTATAGAAAACATAATTAGCACATCGTAAGAATGCTTCGGCATTTAGACATAAATAAATATAATAATTTGTTAGTCGTTTTTAATTAAAGTTCTTACATGAAAGTAGGGTGGGCGTTTGGAAAACGGTTCGGGTTCGGGACGGAATGAATCGGTTCGGTTCTTTCGGTTTTACAAAAATAGGTTCCAATCGAGTTTTTTATTGTATTCGGTTCGATTCGGTTTTGGTATCGATTCGGTTCGGTTCCGAGTTTTATTAAAAAAATAATAGATTTTCTTTAAAAATATTCAGTTTTTCGGGATTTTTAAAATTCGGTTCGGTTTCGAAAAAATTCGGTTCTCTAAAAATGGTATCTTAACAGCAGTTTCGGGTAAAAAAATACCGTTTTAATGGTTCGGTTCAGTCCGGTTCCAAATAACCGAACCGAAACGGCCAGCCCTACATGAAAGTGTATTATTAGTAAAGTATATTATTTTTTCGTAGAAGTTTTCAAATAAATGGAAACTTCAGTTTGGCACGGTATCATTTTTACCTTTTATGATTTTTTGGGCATTTAAAAGACCAAATATGAAAAACAAAACAAAAAACCAAAAATCATAAAATAACCATTTTCATGTTGAAACTTTAAAATTGCAACCAATAACAATCTATTTTGAACCGAATGAGATTTTTTAAATGGATTTTGATTTATGAGTTTTGGTATTTTTGGTTTTTAAAAGCCAGAAAAATATAAAAAATAATATATGTTTTTTAGTTCAAATTAAATCCTTTGGTAACACAAGATTAGGAAAAAAAAAGTCTTTCAGAAGTTTATTTTAGAAAAGAAAAAACGATTTTTCGAATTTGGTTCAGTACCGTTTTTTTACGGTTCAACACATTCACCGGTTTTGATTTTAAGCCGAACCAACAAGCCGACCGGCCGGTCTGGTTCGATTTGAAGACGGGAAAAAGAAAACAAAAGAAAAAACCAACTAAAACCCTAGAGCTACCGAAAAAACCCTAGAGAGAACACAGTCTCTCTTCCGTGTCATCTTGCTTTGTTCCTCTACATTCCGGGGATTCGCCATTTCTTTGTTGCCGTCCTAATTGGTTTGATTATCATCTTGATAAGTGATTTCGGATTACCCTTTTCGAGATGGGTGCCAAAGGTGGAAGATTTTGTTTTGTTTTTTTCTGTTACAGATGTGAAAATTTGTTCGATTTATCCGTCTCTCGGGTCAGGCTTCGTTTTCTTTTCGTTTTTTAATTGTTTGAATTAACAAATGGTTTACGGGGTTTTTCAGTCAAGCATTTAGATGCTGAAACAATGGATGGGATTGAGGAAATAGAAGGTGGTAAGAGGAAAAAGGTACCGAAATCGAAGAAAGAGGAAGCCAAAGAGCACAAGGAGCAGCTGCAGAGGCTACAACAAAAGGTTCGAGATAATCTCCAAAGTGAATATATCAATTTGTCATTGTTCTTGTTATGGAGCCTTCAATTTCTCAGCGTTTTGTAGATGTTTTCGTTAAATAGGTGGTGGAAAAAAGAATTTAATTGCTTGTCATTTTGTTTTGTTGGACGAATTGTTATGGGGCTCGTCTTATATGATTTTTATTTTTGATGGGTTGTGAAGTAAAGCTGTTGTTAAAGTTGAGAGAATCTGATAGTTTGCATATGGATTTTTTTTTTTTGCAGCACCCAGATTTTTATGAGTTCTTGCAAGAGGCTGATCCTGAGCTACTGGGATTTAATGACGACGAGATTGAGGTGGGTGAATAATTCGTAAGCTTCTTTTGCTTTCTTCTCCATCTTTTAGATGTTTCTCTGTAGAACAGGTCCATCCATGTCCCTCTTTTATCCCATATACCCGCTTTAGGTATCTCTAACAAACAGGATCCTGTGTATGGTGTGAATTTTGTTGACATTTTGCCACGAAATATGGGAAGTGCCAAAATGTCTTTTAAGTTTTTCCTTTTGGATTTTGCAGGATGATGATGATGATGCCGATGACTTGGAAGATGCTGAAATGCAAGATGAGGATGAAACCCCTGAGCTTGATATTGCAAAAGAAGGAAAGGAATCAGCTCGAAAAACGATTACAGTGGCAATGGTTGATTCATGGTGTAATTTAATCCGAGAAGAATCGAGACTAAGTGCAGTGCGTTCGATGTTGAGAGCTTACAGAACTACCTGTCACTATGGTGATGATACCGGGGATGATTCATCTACGAAGTTTAGCATCATGTCAAGCGCTGTTTTTAATAAGATAATGATATTCGTTCTCAGTGAAATGGATGGAATTCTTCGTAAATTATTGAAGCTTCCAGCAACTGGAGGGAAGAAAGAGACGATACTGGATCTGACTACCACAAGGCCTTGGAAGAACTATAACCACCTGGTCAAATCATATCTGGGGAATTCACTACATGTTCTGAACCAAATGACTGACACCGAAATGATATCATTCACTCTGCGGCGCCTAAAGTACTCGTCTGTGTTTTTAGCTGCTTTTCCAAGCCTCCTAAGGAAATATATTAAGGTGCAGCTCATTGTAGCTAAATGTCATTCTCTTGTTGTTTGGCATTTTCTTTACTGGGCTTAATTTCATTGATTACCTGTCTTCTTAGCTCTTTTGCTCATTGCTTTTGTTTTTCCATTAAGGTTGCACTTCACTTTTGGGGGACTGGTACTGGGCCGCTCCCTGTTGTTTCATTGCTATTCCTGAGAGATTTGTGTGTACGCCTTGGATCAGACTGTGTGGATGATTGCGTCAAGGGCATGTACAAAGCTTATGTGTTGAATTGCCACTTTGTGAATGCTGTAAAGTTGCAGCATATCCAATTTCTCAGCAATTGTGTCATTGAGCTTCTTGGGGTGGATCCATCTGCTGCATATCAGCATGCGTTTGTCTTCATACGGCAATTGGCAATGATTTTGCGGGAAGCACTTAATATGAAAACAAAAGTACTTTCTTATCTTTAGCATTCAGTTATGTATATTATGTGCTGTGCATTTCTGGGGTTCTGACATTGCAGTTCAACAGGAAGCATTTCGGAAAGTTTATGAATGGAAGTACGTAAATTGCCTTGAGCTCTGGACTGGGGCTGTTTGTGCCAGCAGCTTACAGTCAGAACTCAGACCAGTTGCTTATCCGCTAGCCCAGGTAATATCCGGTGTGGCTCGACTTGTTCCCACTGCTCGGTACTTTCCCCTTAGACTGAGATGTGTTAGAATGCTCAACCGGATTGCTGCTTCTACTGGGACTTTTATCCCTGTCTCAATGCTTCTCTTGGACATGCTGGAGATGAAAGAGTTGAATAGACCTCCCACCGGTGGTGTTGGAAAATCTGTTGATATACGCACTATGCTGAAGGTATGTACAGTTCTTCGCCACATTCGTTTTTATTTTTAATGTTAAGCCTCACATGGGTCTGTAAGGGGAGCTGGTATGAACCTGCATATTAAAGAAGAAGATTCACGCATAGAAATGATAATATAATCATTATATTATAATGAAGGAAGGTGGTTAAAGGATTCAATTTGTCTTTGTTTTTAGTACTTGGAAAATCTACATTGGACATTTACACTCTTATTGGAGAACTACCAGTTTGAGTGTTCAGTGTGGATTTTGGAAACAACCTGGATTGAAATGGGTCCATTAGGTCCTCAAGCAAATTAACGTTTAGTAATTGAATTTTTCTAGGTAAGTAAGCCTACAGTGAAGACACGAGCATTTCAGGAGGCATGTGTTTATTCCGTGGTGGAGGAGCTTGCTGAGCATTTAGCTCAGTGGAGTTATTCTGTAGCTTTCTTTGAGCTGTCTTTTATTCCGACAGTTAGGTTACGTAGCTTCTGCAAAGCTACTAAAGCAGAGAGGTTCCGGAAAGAAATGAGGCAACTTATCCGTCAGGTACCTTCATGGAGAGCAAAATGGCCTGTGCTTATTTGAATCGTGCGATTGTCATACCAACTTGCATATTTTAAATCAAGGAACTCTGGTTTTCTGACTACTCCTAATTGGAGCTTTCCCCTGACAGATTGAGGCCAACTCAGAGATCGTGAACAAAAAGCGAGCATCGGTTGATTTTCTGCCAAATGATCCGGCAAATGCATCATTTCTCGAGGTTCATTATCGGATTTCTTTGTGTCCTTTTTGGTTATTTCTAAGTTTCATGAATACACATTTGTTATCCTGTTATTGAAAATTATGTGGTTACTAGGAATTGTTTGCTGGGATGTGATAGTTTGTCGCTTGTTCTTGGTGACAGATATCATTCTGGTTTAACTGCAAAGATATTTTATTAATTCTGCTCATTTATACTTGGATGATAACTTGAAGTAGCATTCGAAATGCTTTTTGGGGTTACTGTTACAGGATGAGAAGAAGTCAGGCACAAGCCCTCTATCGCAATTTGCAAAGGTTCTCCACCAAAGAGCACAACAAAGGACCGAATCATTGGTGGAATCAGAGTGCGTACTTTTTTTTAACTATCGTCATTATTTTGCTTCATTTTGTTGTTCGATTGACCATAAACACTGTCTGGTGTCCAGTGTTCTTGTGGGAGAGAGCAGGTCTGTCTTCGGGAAGAACATATCAACGAGCGATGACGAAGATGACAAGGATAGGAATGAGAAAGGTGCTGCGGTTTTCAGTTCATCCTGGTTACCAGGAAAAGGCTCTAAGTACGTCTTTCCACATCTCAATACGTGTATACATCACCAATACATGCCTCTGCTTTAAACATATTGGTCTGGAAAGTATTAATATGGTAGATCTGAAATTGATGATTTCAAATCTTAAAATAAAATTTGTGGGATCTAGAGAGATAGAAACATAACTCGCAATGGTGTAACGAGTTCCTGAGAAAAGGGTCTCGATCAATGTAATCTCTCTTTGCCCTAAACACCCGGTATTGCATATTGTTGTACTGCTGATAGAAGCAAATGGTTTTGGCAGAGAAAAAACTCCGAAAGAAGAGAAGAACAAGAAAAGAAAGAGGAACAAGAAGGGAAAAACAGAGGCGGGCGGAGAAGATGATGTTGTGGAGGATCTGGTGCTGAGTTCAGATGAGGAAGATAACGAGTTTTCAGATAATTCGTTTTCTGCAAGCGAAGAAGATGACGAAGTTGCAGTGAAGAAAGACCGTAAAAAAACCAAGAATTCGACGGTACCTGAAGGTAGAAATATCAAGGAACAGAGAATCAATAAGAAATCGAAGAACAGTGGAAGAAAACCTCGGGCTCAGACCAAGAACTTGAAGAAGAGGCGTCGAGCTTGATTATTAAGTTCATAAGGGTTAGTTATTGCAAGAACCAGAGATCCTCCAGTTGTGGCCTGTTGAGGTTTACTTTTGATTGTATGAAATACTTTTGGCTGTTATATTATTTCACAATTTTCATGGTCACATACAATGAGTAAAACAAATTGAATTGGTTAAGGTATTTATTGGCAATTCGGAGTAAGAAAAATTGAAGAACAGGAAAGAAAATTTGACGCCAAATGCTTGAAGTAACACCATTTTCATCTCAAAATACGATGACATGATTTCATCATGGTCTTGATTTCGTATATACACATACGGACAACGACGTGTATACAAAAATTGTTCTTGAGAACCAATCATACTAACTTCACAACTTTACAATTCCACTTGCAAAATATTTTGCAAACATTGAAGCCTAATGATACATAAAAAAGCGTATGAAGTATTTGTCAACCAATCAAAAACCACATAAATCGGCTGTCCACAAAATTTGAACCAAAACACACATGAAAGACAGAAGGGGCATCACATACAAAATCAATGAGGCTGTCTTAAAAGCTACTTCCATGGTGAAGAAGATGATGGTCTCTGCATAAATGGTTGAGAAGAGGAGGAGCCGTATTTGAGGTCGAGGTTATGGAGCTGTTGCAGCAGTTGAGAACGGCGCTCCTTGAAGAAATCCAGACGGGTCGTTAGCTCCACGAGCGCTGCTGATGGATGATGCGCCCTCGGATGCTCTGTAATCTGCAAAGTCCCTTTTAGTTTTTCATTCCGAGGCTCGGAATTTCAAGGTTTAGTTTACACTGGGCTTGATGTGGATCGGGTACCCGATTTTTCTGGTTACCCGACCTCAGCCTCGAAGCCTTGGGTTTCTCAGACTGCCTACCCGATCTCGGCCTTCATGATCTGGGTACCCCCATGAACCAATTTTTTCATCCAGAAATTCGGACCCGAGTAGACCAAAACCACGTGACTCGACTCAATCACACTGAAATAGAATCAGACTTTCGACAGATGACGGAGATGAAACCAGCTCAAAGAAAAACTCGGTTTTCAACGGAGGCGATGGCAACTCGACTCGAAGCGAAAAAAATCGGCAGACAATTCGCCGGGGAACAAAGAGAATCAATGAACCCACAGAATCACAAGTTTGAACATGAGATAGAGAGAATTTGGATAAGAACAAACCTTTGTCGATATTCATTGAACATTAGGGGTAAATTCGTAATTTCACTGCATCAATGGTGCCTCAGGTAACCCGCGACACAATGGCCAAACTAGAACCCGAAGTTCGGGTTCCCCGTCCCGACCAACCTGGCATCGCAGGCATGGGACGGGTAATTCCAAGCATCTTTATACTTTCCTTTTTTTTTCCTTCAGACATGACTGGGATGTCTTGATTAATTAAAGAGATGGAGGTAACGAGAATGAAAACTTACATTTGCTGCTCTCGAGGCGGTCGGAGCAGATGGAGAATATATTGGAGAGCACTCATCAATTGACACGCTCACCAAGTTCGTTGACTGCGGCGGGTCTTGCCCACATGGCGGTTGCCTATTATCGCCCCCTACAAATCCCAGACCTCTACCGTTTCTCCATTCTGCTCCTAAAACACTCTCCTGCTCCTGCAGAGTTGAATGGGAAGAAAACGCTATAGGTCGACACAAGGGGACTAATTTACGAAACATACGTGCATTCGTCGATGGCTTAGTATGTGTAGTACCTCCATTCTTTGATTTCTTTTGTGATTAACATAAGCAAGAGTGGAATCAAAGTCCTGCTCGAAAAACTTGCTGCAACAATGTACAAACTATGTTTTAGACGAGATAGGTACATATACAACCTGAAAAAAGGGGGGGGGGGATCGAGATTGGAAACCATAGCAATTTTATGAGCTGCTTTTGGCCCGATTAATCACACGGTCCACAGCCCAGATGCTTGTTTGTATGCCTTTCCAAGGATATTTTTACATTAAAAAAAAAGAAAAGAAAAGTCGGTCCTCCAGATCCAAGATCAAGAAACAAGCAAAGGCTTAGACAGTGTTTTGCCTAAACAAATCCGAGTGTTGAAGATTAGATATTCTACGTTTGAGGTGAATAATACTGTTAAGAAAACTCTGCTTGAAAGAGAATGAGAAACCAGGAAGTAGAACAACTCACGGCTGAGCATTGTGACTGTGTTGATACTGATGATGGCCATGAGCATCTGCAAGTGAACTCACGTGATTTTGGCGTTGCTGGTTAAGTTGGTGGTGTAGTTCCGCAACTTTCTGCTTCAATCTGGCCACATCAGCTTCAGCAAGAGCGATCTCCTCAAGCTCGGTCCTTGTCTGCACATTCATCGCCATGTAAAAATTACGTTACAGCAAAAGGTTTAACCAGAATAGTGGGAAATAAACCCTAAACCCTAAAAGAAGAAGGAAAAGTCGGTTTTTCCCCCGCTAAAGTGCACACTGACTTTAGATTCCACACTATGGGAGCTAAGTTGTCCACAAGACATGCTTAACCCAACTTCCAGTGCAGTCCGGAGGTCCTTCTCAGCTTGAAGTTGCTCTTGTAATCTGGCCACCTGACGTTTTCATGGGAAGCTTAACCAGTAAATGAGGTTTCATTTTTTATCCGGGCTTATAGTTGGATAGGCAGGAGAACGAATAACATAATGTATAGAGAGAGAGAAAAAGGTATATACATCTTGTTCTAGTGCCAAACGACGTTCGTGCAACGCTTGCTTCCTCCTCTCCAAGCTAGTTAGAAGTATTACATTTCCTCTGGCCTGCCATGGATAATGGACTGTTTTGTCAGTAATGATACATTAAGTGAAACTGAAAACGCTAGTTCAAGTGCAAGAAGGAATACCTCCTTAGCAATTCTTTGCCGCAGCTCACTCTTCATGGTCTCGAGCCTCTGTATGACAAGCCTACAAGCAATGGATGAACAATTTTTCACAACCATAAAGGCATACTAGTATAAGAAATAATAGGCTTTGAAAGTTAAGAATAGTGCCAAAAAGCATAGAAAACATATGCTGAAACTCAAATTTATTCATTTTCATTTTCAAGGCGATGCAGACCGTTCTTTAGTACAGGCATTCTGCTTTTTGACCTGTTCAACCATAGGTATCCTAGATTGACCTCAGCAAGAGAATGAAGCTTCTGAGTTTTTTAACTCGGTTATTAGGAAAAAAAGTTGAAACCAGAGGGTTTTGACTATACATTTCAATAAAAGAATCGAAGTACTTTGAGAATGACAAACATGCGTAGAGACATGCATCCATGGAGAGCAACAAATAGATCTGTCTTAGAAGGACAAATGTAAATTCACAATTGAATATCTTACTCATCATCTCCAGAAGAATCAAATGATCCATTTGTAGGTTTTTTTCTCCCCTACAAACAATAGCCAACAACCCAAGAATTCAGGAGATTATCAAGAACTCATTGCGTATTCAATATTGATGTATCATATCAATGCAAAATACAAGTACTAATAGAGTTTATTGATATTAATATGACTTCAAACACCATCAAGTCTTCCCACACCGATGTTCGGAACTAAGTTTCTCATATGGTTCAGCGAGGAGGCAACATCACATCTTGCCACATGGCCCATATCATATGGATTTAAAGAAACATTTAAAGAGGAGACATCCTAGCGCAAATTGCAACCGAACAGGTCTACGAAAAAGGAAATTCATTGAACGCATGAATGGGCCTAGTGGTGAGGTAAGATAGCAAATAGATTAAACCACCTAAAACCTACTACACACAGTTCGTGCACCATAAAAAAGCAGCGTATACAAGAACTGAACAACCATCACATGTCAGGGAATGGAGAACTTACATTGCCTCTTCCCCAGAATGTTGATCGTTTTCCATTGATTGTCGAGGAGTCTGTAATTTTACTTTCAGAAGATGATGTGTATCCAGCAGGAGTACCAGGGTTGAGGGAAGTTAGTATCTCTTTCCTTGACCGATAACAATTTTCAATAGGTGAGACACTAGAAATTTCAATATCTTTAATAGGTTCTTCGTTTTGTTTCTTGTTTGAACTCTCAATTGAACAATAGATGTCTCTGGGAGACTCAACATCTGAATCTTCACCACCAAATCCCTGAAAGAGCATATTCAAGAAAAGGATAAGTTAAGCAAAACTTTCTACAAATAATATCAAATATTTTGGCAATGGGTTACCCAGTGTTAAAAAATAAAGCAGTAACAATCTATTTTTAGACAAAAGACCACAGAGGCTCAAACCCATACATAGCCAGACCGTTACTGATAGATGAAGGAATCATAACCTCACGCCTGACAAACAGGATCTCGTATTTCTAGAATGTGGAATACAGATTGATGTAACTAAGACACCATATACATTATTATCATCAAGTAGCTTTCACATTAGTGAATGAAGGGATTGAGATGCAATTGAGGGATATGGCAAAATAAATCCAAACCTTGTAATCATAGAGATCACTTCCAGCAAAATCACTGCCCTCGCTCAGTTTTCTGCTCAGCACAACCTCATTATCTTCATCTGTTTCTCGTTCAACCCCAATATCTGAATTATGGAAGCCAGTTTCTTTCAGCTCTATGTCCTCTTCATCACTTGAATTCTCAGGCCCACTATTTCCAATGTGCGAATCAGCAGAAATAGAGCACCTTTGAAGATGTTCATGCTGAGAAACCAATATGCGAGTACACATGAATGTGTGACAATTGTAAAAAAAAGTTGCATGATGTAAATGTATCTTACAGAAAATTCGTTATCATAATCATCCAAAAGAGTTGTAACAATGGCTTGAGCATTATTAGCTGCATTAGCAGCAGCAAGAAGCTGGGCAGAATTATCTCCATTCGTGCCAAAATCGTCTTCTAGATCACATTCACCAGCCAGTAGAGGACGTAAGAGCAATGGAGCCATACAAGCAGCTAGAGCAGATGAGGTCATCCGATTCTCGCAAGAATGAGATGCGATGGTATGCATCATCTTCAGAATCCTACAGAATACAACTCCAAGGTGAGAATAGAGCTGTCTAGAGCAACCTGAATAACGGAGTCCCAAGCATCTTTACCAATGAGAACAATGTAAACTGTTTGAGGCCCACCAGTTGACCGATGAACAACATTCTTATGTTTAATGCTTAAAACACTACCGAAAAAAATATGAGAACGTACCGCTGTAGGAGTCGCTTGTTCGGCTCTGGAAATGTTTCAACTATTGCAGAATGCAGTGAATTAATCCGAGCTTCTTTGTGATCAGTTTCTAACAAAACATGGTCAGTAATTATGTCAGCTTTACAGAAGAAGTATCAAATATTCAAAGATATAGGCCTTATGGCACAAAAACTTACTATAAGCTTCCAGCAAAGCAGTGCAGCATGATGCTGGAACTGGAGAAGGCAACTCCCTTAGAACATGCTGCATATTCAATAGCATGGTCTGAATCCTTCAACTAAATCACCAAATTAAACCTTATGGCTCACACAAATGGTAGTACACTACCTTAACACAGTCTCCAACAACATGTGGATCCTCATCGGGACTGAACTCTGTCTTGCCTAGGTAACAAATTAACAATATTTGGAGGAGTAAAGGGGGAAAATTAATAAAACAACCATAACCTCGACTACACTTAATTCTACCTTTTTCTAAAGTTGCACAGAGAAAGAGAAAGCAGATATGTAAAGGATAGCTACCTAGATCGTATTCCTGAATTCTGCGTTCTACCTCCTCAACATCTGCAGACTGTCTTAAGATTCCTTCAACTTTGGACCCTGTACAGAAAAAAAGGTACAAGAGAAAACTAAATAGAAGAACACACTTAATAGTCTCTTTTTTCAAACTGTAAAGAAAACCATATACCTGATCCTATAGTAGACTACAATACAAGACTAGTGGAGAATATATACAACTGGTAACAGAAAAAGGTTTGAATTAGATTTTAGATTAAGAAACTGATACCATATTGCTCAAGAAATTGAAGAGCTTTCTCAAGAAATGATGGGCTTCCATCAATATCTTCAAGAGCAAGCAAAATTGGCCTTCCAACAACCAAAGATTTAACTAGACGCTTATCCCTCCCTGAAAACCAGGATATGATTGAATATTCATATTAAATATGGAAGGAGCCACAACAGTGAAGTTATCAAAATAACAACACAAGTGAGATGAATAAGAACAAACATTGATTAAAGGACCCTTCAGTTGAATTGTTTGTTTCAGTCCGGAATATTCCATTGTGACCCATGACGAGAGCTGCATTAGGAGCTTGTGCAAGGGCCTGCTCAAAGGCAGTCTTCCACTCATACACCTCTTCCAATGTCTCAGCCTACATGATTTGAACAGACAGGATATTGTACAGCCTCACCAGAAGTAACTGGGCAACACACCCATCTAATCGAGAGAAAAACAAGATTATACAAAAACATTTAGAGTTGGCACCTTGAGGGTGAAGGCTCGTCCATCACACCCATCTGGGAATAAAACAGTCAGCAACTTCTTGTCTTCTCTCACCACGACACTACAAATAAGGATGCCAGGCTTGTCAGCTGTAAGCTAGAAAATGAAGATAGCCTTTTAGACAACAATCATTAGCAATAAATACCTCCCCGAACTGTTCAAGTCAATGCCTCCAAGAGTCATATTTCCTTCACCCTTCTGTGGTAATGCACTCTGTAAAATCATTGAAACAATGAGCTGGGAGGTCAAACGAATCAAGAAGTTGAGACAACAGATATCAAGACTCTTGGTAAGCGCCTGGTCGGAAGTCTTAGTTAGAATCAAGTTATCACTGATATTACTAAACGAAAAAAAAAAAAATCTAGTCTATAAAACTAGGAATTATTATTTACAAAAGGAAAATAAAACAATTGAGAATTGGAACCTAAATATAGGCCATCCAGGTTTGTCAGACAACGGAAGGAAGGGGAAGACAGAAGAAGATAAGAACTAGAAGATGACACGCGATATAGGGCAGGCATAATCATGAGACAACGGAATGATTGCAACTTATAGACCATCAGCAAGGATCTTTCTCTGATAGTCTGATGTTGTGCAGAAAACTAAATCTTATTATTAAGAGCATACAACAATACGAGCAAAAATTGGATGCTATGAATCTTCTAATAATGACCCACAAATAAGAAATTTACTGTTGGACTCCTAACATGAATCTAATTGACATAAACTCAACTTTTAACAAATTCTATGAGCATAAGGACAGGAAGTTTCGATAATAGCATCAGAATCAGCAAAAATGTTGCTTTACACCAAATATTACGAGGGAAATAAATAGGTAAATCAAAGGGTTTTTTACAATGTACTATGTTCAAGTTGAAGAAATAATGAGAAGAAATTAAGGGCATATGATATTACAGAATAATATCTACCAGTCATTCTACCAATTTTTCCGACTGACTTTTTGTGATCTGTTTTCCCTAAAAAATATACACTTTATCTGAAAGCATTTTGGCTTTGGGATATGCAAGTCAAAATTTTCCTTTTCACAAACATCATTAAATCCTCTAGTTTCCAGTGCAAAAACATATCACTGTCTTACGATGGACAACAATGAGAAGATGTAAATACTCACCGGATCATTTTTGAAAAAGACCAAAGAGGTTCTGGTGAGGATGAACCATCGCTTCTTCCAAGACTTCCAACCGAGTCCTACAAATCAAAATGCAATAAACAATATTTCAATACACAACAAGATGCCAGTAGCTAAAGAATTGATCCTGACACAGACATCTAGAAGAAGTGCAAACTTGAGATTCTTAACAAAATAACAGGAGAAAAAAAGAGACTACCTTTTGATGATATAAATAAAGACCCACTCTTGAAAACCTGCCAAAACGTATTGTCCAACAAAATAAGTGAGGATCACAAGTTTGCAGTCTTTTGCTATTTCAAAAACATAAAAGATCTGTCGAAGCTGAGATGTAAACAAACACTCTATACAAGAACGCGATTCTTTATACGGCTATCTGGGAAAGACATGTTATCTAGCATGAAAGACATTGACAGAAACTAATTGTTCATTATGCACTTCTTTCGCTCATCTAAACGAAGGCTCTTCTTTCAACTTCAGGCACCATTCCAATCAAAAGAAGTAATTCTACAGCAATTAAACCAGGAGAGATCCTTTAACTGCATATCACTTCAAAATCCCAGAAGACTCTTCCATTTCTTTCAAACTAAAGAACCTAAAAATGGTATGGATATCAATTACCTAAGCCAGCTGTTTAAGATCTGGAGCAATGTTGCCCGTCACCAAGGTCATGGCAGGCATACCCGTTGGCATAAAATGTTATAGCAACAAGTGAGACATACACAGCCACAAATATAATGCAAAGTGCAAGGTTGTCTCTAACAAATTTTCAATTCTTTTGAGTTCACGGCATATAGGTGTCTAATTAAACAAATTACAAAGCTACACCATTTTAATTGCGGAGAAAAACTAAGCAAGGATCTCCTGCTGATCAGGAGACATTTCTTACATCACCCAAACAAAACAAGGATGATATGCTTTTGACTCGTTTTGAACTGATGATTTTGGATTCCACCATCTTAATGACACTCAAGCCAAGATTTATTTTGAAAGAAAACAAATGTTTAAATCTACAATCTCAGGCAATCAAAGTCTACAGTTTTTGTCCACTTTCAAGTCATTGGCTACAAACAGGTTGAACCCAAGACAATCAATGGAAAATCTGACAACGGTTCATTGTTCAATTTTTATATTTTCTCGCGCCAAGGAAAATGCCTTCACTACACAATAAAAGCACCAGCAAAATTTACCAGCTTTGGACAAGATCCAACAAATTTTCTAATCAAAACTCCACTTTCACAGCAACCAAACAGTTAATAGAAAATACAAACAAATCAAACCAGAGAATTCATTCACCGTATCCGAAGCTCCGAGGCGTGGCCGCTCCAGTGCCGCTAAAGAAGCCGCCATTGCGGACTACACTAAATAAGCATCAATCAAACCTCGGATTCCGCATCCAATCAAAACCCCAGTTGATAAAACCCTTAAAAACCTAGAATTCCCTCTTCGATTCCAGGAGCAGAACAAAAGAACCAAGCTACTCTTTCTCTCTCCACCGGGCTCCACAGACAGCAAATCATATCCATTACATCGAAACCTTTCCCTCACTTTCTCCCATTTACTCGCCAAACTCCGTCAATTTCCCGCGAGAGATATGGCCGAAACCGGAGGAGAAAGCATTCCGTCTCACCTACTGAAGCAGCTGTAGAGAGAGAGAAGATGGTGGCAGGGAATGGAGAACTTACATTGCCTCTTCCCCAGAATGTTGATCGTTTTCCATTGATTGTCGAGGAGTCTGTAATTTTACTTTCAGAAGATGATGTGTATCCAGCAGGAGTACCAGGGTTGAGGGAAGTTAGTATCTCTTTCCTTGACCGATAACAATTTTCAATAGGTGAGACACTAGAAATTTCAATATCTTTAATAGGTTCTTCGTTTTGTTTCTTGTTTGAACTCTCAATTGAACAATAGATGTCTCTGGGAGACTCAACATCTGAATCTTCACCACCAAATCCCTGAAAGAGCATATTCAAGAAAAGGATAAGTTAAGCAAAACTTTCTACAAATAATATCAAATATTTTGGCAATGGGTTACCCAGTGTTAAAAAATAAAGCAGTAACAATCTATTTTTAGACAAAAGACCACAGAGGCTCAAACCCATACATAGCCAGACCGTTACTGATAGGGACCATTAAAAACGCGCCACGACAGCGACATAACCTTTTTTTCTGTTATATTGTAATTTTAAATTATTTTTATATATGTGTTTATATATTTAATTTATTTTGTAAGTTTTTAATATATTTTTTTTATCCAGAAATGTTTTGTCAAATATTTGAAGCGTTGCTTCAAAAAGCCAAGTCCGCTTTCACGTCAAAAGAGCAGTAATTTGCGGGGAAAACAAAGTAATAAGGAGCAATTTACATGGAGACCCCTGAATCTTAAACAAATTAGCAGTAAAGAGATCAACCTTTGATATATCACATTTGGGCCCCCGTAATTTCATCTCCGTACAGTCTAAAAGTTTAGTTATGTAACAAGTAATAAGCATATCAATGCATGAATCTGAGTGATTTGAGCCACTAAAACGTTGGACTCGAGAAACCTTTTGCCCAAGTTCTGTACTTTTACCTAATTTCTAATTTCTAATGCACAAAGATGTGAATATTCCAAAGATCATATATGGCATTTGATTGGTTGTTATGTAATAAAATTTATCATATATAAATGGAATAATGAACCTAGCTTTGTTCATAACTGAAAGACCATATCCTATACAAATGCTGCATACAGTAGAGATCAAGCTCGGTTTGGTGAGTGACAGGTGATTGATAGAGATCACACTTACTCCAAGATTTAATAAAAGCTTTAGAAGCTGTCGAGAACTTGTGATGTTTTTCTTTGGGGGGACAATTCAAAAAATTGATGGAAAGATCATCTTCTTGATCAAGCTTCACTTAGCTAATGGATTGGATTTCAGGTTGAAATTAAATCAGAACACTTTACGCACACTAATTTCCTTATTGCAGTAGACAAAAATAGGGCTGAGTTGAAACGTAAAATACTTGCAAGCATAACCATTCTCACACACAAAATGCAATTCCGTGGTTTGAAGATGAGATTTATGTACACAAAATGATGGCTAAACAAAAAGGACGAAAAGAATCTGGTCATGCCTCCCCCGGAACGCATCTCCGTCTTTTCTTTTTTGTTTCCATTTTCTACCTCCAGGGTGAAAAGAGGAAGAGGATTTTCCGGGTTTCGTGAGGGAGTCTAGAACAGGGAAGATGAAGCACAAGAGAAGAGAAAAATATATACTGGATCATCAAAAGGATATACAGAACAGAGAAAGCTGCCTGAATCCACCATGGCAATAGATGGATGCTATGAAGTAGTTTTGCCCGGTTAGTTCCAAGGTGGAGAAGACGGTCTGCGAATGAAGTCTTTGGAGGATAACTCGTAGTTGAGGTCAAGTTTCTGGAGCTGCTCCATGAGCTGTGACCGTCGTTCCTTGAAGAAATCCAGACGTGTTGTCAACTCTACCAGTGTTGCGGATGGAAGTCTCGGGTATTCCATCATCTGCAAAACCGTCATGATTAAACATTGAAGTTAATGTGCTCAGATGAAATAATTGATAAAATTGACTATAAGATTTAAGCATCACTCAGAACATGATCCTGGACATTGTTGCAGAGAAAGGCAGACTCTGGTTCAATTCAAAAAGTGTTACTCAGCAATGAATAACTACCTCAAAAAGGTTCAATCATTTCGGTTTTTTGTCCAATGAAGTTAGAAAAGCCAAAAAAATGGGTAAGACTTTCTTCTTCTTTACCTACTTGGAGCTCTATTCTTACTATTCCAAAGCCTCTTTTTCTACTCATGTTGTTCCAAACCCCGTGGTCAGTACGGCATGTTGTTAGGTGAAGGAAAAATGAAGAGCAACTCATTTGCTAAGTTGTACTTAGAACTACATCTCAAACCATGTGTAAGAGTTTGTCCTCTCATGTTTCTCAGAACCGTCAGCTCTGATTTGCAAGGACAGGAACCGACCATGCACGACTTGGCTGCCATTATCTTCTGCAACTGTACAACTTAAACTAACCAGGCTTAAGGTCAAGCATAGAGCTGCTCGACAATCTTGACTATCTAATGCGATCTAAACTCATCCTCAAGTATTTTACTTCTATCTAATGAGGATTAGCTAAGAAATTGATCAAGAGAATTAGAGAACCAATAGGAGTAAGAGGAAAAGATCTTACATCTACTGCTCTTGAAGTGGAAGGAACGGATGGGGAATCTATGGCTGACAACTTGTCCACAGGCACATTCAAGGATACTTCATTGTTCCCAGTGTCAATCATGCTCATTGATTCTGGTACTTGTTGATGAGATGATTGTATGTTATGGCCAACAGCTGCAGATCCTGCCGCTCTACTATTTCTCCACTCTGTCTCTATCAAACCCTCCTGCGGGTTTACATCATTTTGGACAATTACAGTTTAATGCGAACTAAAACAAAAACAAATAGTGAAAAGATTAACAAGAAATACCTCGTTTCTTTGTTTTCTTCCATTATTTACAAAGGCAAGGGTGGAATCAAAATCTTGCTGAAGAAACCTCCTGCAGAAACAAGTGACAGTTTTAGAAGCAACAAATGGATGTAAAACTAATCACATTTTGGTGCATTAAGAGAAATGCCACACAAATGATTAATATAATCATCTCATGTGTAGACAATTTTTGATCAATTGTTAATAAGAATGATTAATATAATCATCTCATGTGTAGACAATTTTTGATCAATTGTTAATAAGCTAATCTGATATACTGTATAACTGAATAATAGGATCTCCAATGAGATTAAGAAACAGGTAACAACTCAAAGTAAAACAACTCACATTTGAGGATTTTGACTCTGGAGATACTGATTATTATTATCAAGTACATCCGAGAGGGATCCAAGGTGATTCTGACGTTGCTGGTTAAGCTGATGGTGTAATTCCGCAACCTTCTGCTTCAACCGGACCACATCAGCTTCGGCCAGAGCAATCTCCTCAAGCTCAGCCCTTGTCTTCACCATTAATATTGGCCATTAGCTCTTTATGACAGCTAGAATTTTGAACTCAAGAAGCACGAGGCTTGATTCCTCAAAATGAATACTTACTTTAGAATCCACACCATGTGGGCTAAAATGTCCAGAAGACATGCTCAAACCAACCTCTAATGCAGCTCGGAGATCTCTCTCGGCTTGCAGCTGCTCTTGTAATCTTGACACCTATACAAGTGTTTCAAAGATAAGAAATTCCTACTGCATCTAACAAAAAAATATGCAGAATAGAAAAATAAACATCGATTAGGTAAGAAGAAAAAGGTTATACATCTTGTTCAAGTGCCAAGCGTCGTTCGTGCAATGCTTGTTTCCTTCTCTCCAAGCTGGCCTGTAATATCACATTCCCTCTTGCCTATAACATATAATTGACAACACTGTTAACTTAAAGCCAGCATATATCTCAAAATTTTCAGCAGCAGACCCTGTTACCTCCTTAGCAATTCGTTGCCGCAGTTCATTCTTTGTGATCTCAAGCCTTTGTATAGCAACCCTACACGCAATTGATGAACCATTTGAGACAAAAACAACAACAACAAGAACAAAATCACCTAATTAATTTTTGCTTCTGCCTAATGTGAGTGGCAGCCAGAAAAATGAATCTACATAGATATATTAAGAGATGATGGATATGCTCAAGAGCGAAAGTCTTACTCGTCTTCTCCTGAAGAATCAAACGATCCATTTGAGGGCGTCTTTTTGGCCTGTGCCAAGAAATACATACAACAAAGATTATAAAGAAAACATAACTGACCTATGCTCTCTTGTATCTTTAAGTTAGATCATAACAGTTACAGTAACGAGACAACATTTTATTATAAACCTCGTCAACACAAGTTACTGCAAGCGATACCATGGTTCAAACCAGCTGCATAAAAAAAATACCTGTTCATTCAAAATAAGTGAACACTTACATTGCCCCGACCCCAGAATGGTGTTCGCTTCGTCTTGACAGAAGAGCCGGTAGCCTTAGTTGTGGGTTTCCCACTTGATGATTCAAGTCCACAAGCAGCCAGAGACTTCCCAGGAGAGTGTGATGCTGAAAACTTCCCTGGTGAGTGATTAGACTCATCAACAAGTGAGAGACAAGAGTTTTCTCTTTCTTTAGCTGGACCACTATTTCCTTCATTTTCTCTAGCTAATTTCCCATGACATGGACGATATGAAGTCCCAATTGGACCACTAATGTCTCTTGGTGATTCAACATCGGATTCATCAGCAACAAATCCCTACAAAGAATGTACATAGAATTAAGAAATAAATAAAAGTATAATTCTAGCATTTGGGACAATACCCAAACAAGATCAACCAACACAGACATAAGGATACAACAGCCAATAGCTGAGAATATACCTTGTAATCGTAGAGATCGCTACCAGCGTAACCACTGCTCTCACTCATTTTTCCACTGAGTGCCCTTTCATTATCATCATCTGTTACTGGGTCCACTTCATTCTCACCCTTGTGACACCCACTATCTTTCACATCTAAGTTTCCATCATCACTTGAATCATCAGGGCCACTGTTTCCGATATGTGAATCGGTAGAAATTGAACATCTTCGTGTATTCTCTTCCTGAAAGATCACAGATAAACAAATATGACATGCAACATCGACGGAATTCAGTCGAAATTCTAATGATCTGAAAGCAACCTACATCGAATATGTTGTCATACTCCTCCAAAAGAATTGTAATGATGGCTTGAGCATTATTAGCAGCATTGGCAGCAGCAAGAAGCTGAGCAGAATTATCTTCACCAGCATCAAATTCATCTTCTAAATCACATTCACCAGCTAGCAGAGGACGAAGGAGCAAGGGAGACATGCAGGCAGCTACAGCAGATGGGGTCATTCGATTCTCACGAGAATGAGATGAGATAGTATGCATCATCTTTAAAATCCTGTGAAGTATAATATCAAGCTAAACATAAGTGTTCCTGAGATATCTGATCAAGGACTCTCAACAAACCTTACTCATGAAAGCCGAATTGATCTCATCTGGTAGATAAAACTTTGACTAAGCATCTGTCAAGTTGTTTCAAGTTTGCCAATAATCAACTGGCTAAATTGTACTCAGCATCCACTGAATTTTTTGAATCTTTTACCACAGGAAATGTTGGCAAAACAATAAGCCACAAGAGTATCTGGAACATACCTTTGTAGTAGACGTCTATTAGGCTCAGGAAATGTTTCCACTACAGCGGAGCGTAATGAAGTAATCCGAGCTTCCGTAGAATCTATTTCTGATCCAACAAAATAGCCAGCAAAGATGTTAACTACACAGAAGTACTTATGAGACTAAAATATATGTACACATACATGTACATTTATACAAATAGTCTGTTGGAAAGGAAGTAGCAGAGAGAAGGAACTCACTGTAAGCTTCCAGCAGAGCAGTGCAACATGATGCTGGAACTGGAGAAGAAGGCAATTCCCTCAGGACATGCTGCAGATAAGTAAATTTGGCTAAACATACCAATACTCCAATTAAACATTACACCGTAGACAGGAAGAAACTACCTTAATACAGTCTCCAATAACATGTGGATCCTCATCAGGACTGAACTCTGTTTTGCCTAGGGAAATTATTTGGAGAAAGAAGGAAATAAGTTGAAAAGTTCATTGGAAAGTGCACATATAAAAGTTACCTAGGATGTGTAAAATATCACACAAGACATAAGCCCAACATGATTTACTTAAATTTATTGAGAAAGAATTTATTGAGAAAGAACAATTAGTGGAGGATATATACCTTGTTCATATTCTTCAACTCTTCGTTCCACTTCCTCAACATCAGCAGATTGTCTTAAAATTCCTTCGACATTAGTTCCTATGGGACAGAGAAGACCGAGACCCAAAAGAAAGCAGCAGTTATACAACTAAACGCATTTCCAAAGAAAGGAAAATCCATATGTTACTTAACGTTAGTACGTTACAAGAAACTTTGCACTTGGGCAATGAGATACCAAGAACCCAGAAAAATAGCAATTCCTATTACTTTGGCTGGATCATTCGTATTTACAATACAGACGTGGTGATCAATTGGACTTTTGATTAATTAATTTTTTTTTACTGACCTCCTTTCTTTCATATGCAGAGAATCTATGCAGTATGCACTGAAAGATACTCTCCACAACAGGAAAACAGTAAAAAGATGCCATGGGTTCTCTTTGGAAGCAAAAAGGTCATGTATCGAGCAAAACCTTATGATAAAATAACGTGCAAACCACAAAGCACAATGATAGCCAAGAAACTTACCATACTTCTCAAGGAACTGGAGAGCTTTCTCGAGAAACGAGGGACTTCCATCAATATCTTCGAGAGCAAGCAAGATTGGCCTTCCAACAACCAAGGATTTAACATTGCGCTTGTCCCTCCCTAAGTGACAGAAACCGCTAATACGATGGGCAAAATTCATAGACGTGGGAAAGTAAATTAGTGATTATAAAAGCAGTAAGATGGGTTAGAACAAACATTGATGAAAAGACCCCTCCAGAGCCTCATTTGTTTCAGCCCGGAATATTCCATTCTGGCCCATGACAAGCGCTGCATTAGGAGCCTGTGTGAGGGCTTGCTCAAGAGCAGTCTTCCACTCATACAAATCTTCTGATGTCTCAGCCTACATGATCCAGATTGGTAATGAAAAGAGAAATTAAAACCATACAAGGGCCATCTTATAGGACTACTAGGAAGCAGACAACACAGTATCTGGACCGTGCTGCAAATAGCCATCCATACCATATAAGAAGAGTAGACTATTATGTGGATGCTTAAGTACCTTGAGAGTGAAAGCTCTCCCATCACGCCCATCAGGAAACAACACTGTCAACAATTTTTTATCCTCTCTCACCACAACACTGAAAACAAGAATGTTTGTGAGCAATACACCATGGATTTTGTTCTAACCAACTAGTAGGAACCTACATACCTCCCAGAATTGTTCAAGTCAATGCCTCCCAGAGTTAAGTTAACTTCACCACCCTTTTGTGGTAATGCACTCTGCAAAACATTTTAGATAGTACATTAGTTAGTCACCATTATTATAATAACACCTAACATTAAAAGGTAGGCAACTGCAGACCCTTGTCAATACATGGATAAATTATATTTGGTGGGTCAATAACACTGGCTTAGGATAAGATAACTAACAGCACGAAACACAAATGGAATAATGGATCTCTAAGCATTCTTTTATATGTATTTAAGAAAAGGTGTTGTTTTAAGTAACAAGCACCGCTCATATACCATGTAAAGTAACTAAGGTTACAATACAAGTGATAGAAGGTCATTGAACATATTGTTCATCTGATACAATGAGAAAAATAAAGGGAACTTATACACAACAGAATAACTTTCCCAACTAATTAGACAACTCCAATCTCATGATTTCTTAACGTATCTACCTTACATCTGATACACCCCACCGGGTTACGTGATTTCTAAAGATCATCAATATTCCTATCTTTATCGGAAGCTAATGTGAAAAAAATCAAGATTTCAAAGGAGTGCATCTTAATAGTGTTTGCAAATATGCAAAGTGATAGCGGATACTGACAGGGTCATTTTTGAAGAAGACCAAAGAAGTGCGTGTGAGGATGAACCAGCGCTTCTTCCAAGACTTCCAGCCCAGTCCTGTGGAGCAAAATGTCGAAAGCAATCAGTTCATAGTCTTGGAGGACACAACTGCTACAAGGAAGTAATTTCATCTTCAAATTAATAACCGAACCAAAATGATGGAGCCTGGTGAGTTAACAGAGAGTAGGCAGATCAGACAAACCAAAAGGCCGTGCAGGTTACCTTTTGAGGATATAAAGAGCGGACCACTCTTAAAAACCTGTCAGACAGAACATACATGGATTAGATAACATTAGTAATCACCATCAGTCTCAGGAATCAAATATATGTTTCAAAAAGGAGAAAACCGATATAAACTAATGACCGGGCAAAATCAACAAAAGGCTCGAAATATATCTCCATTATGTAGCTTATATCAAAGACATTAAATATTGAGCGGCTTGATATCCCGTCAGACACTGAAATATGCATACTTTGTTATTTCGACCAAAAGTGTTCTGTGGAATCACTAATCTCTAACTACATTACACATCTGCATCCCACGGCCTCATCTAATTTCTTCCGACAAATCACTAAGAAAAGCAGCTCTCCATCAACTTAGCTGCTCTTTGATGTGTTGGAAATGTACCCAACACCATTCCCATAAATCATGTCATATCGATTATAACACTAGTCTTCCAACATGATGATATAGGCTTCTGGGACTGAATGACCACTACATATAAGTCCTCATAAGATCGAATTTCGCAACAAGTCAAGCCCATGCAATATGAAATTCCCAATGTCAACCATAATGCAGATTAACTCTATACAACAAAGAGATTAATTTTTTAGTGAAAATAATTTCCAAGCTTTTCCATTCTCTCAGTACGCTCGGACCGAGATTTGAAGACAGTGAATCCTGGAACAATTCCAGTTCCACTACGCCACAACTCGTCAGCACATTCCCAAGTTGCTCAACATTTTGCGATCTGCACTCACATGGGATCCAATTTGATCTCTCTGCCATTATCACTGCACTTTCTCGGCGACCAGCCAGAAAAAATAAAGAAATAAACCAAAACTAATGTAGCTCAGAAACTCCATTACCGTATTCGAAGCTCCACCTCGTGGCCGTTCCAAAGCCGCTACAGAAGCCTCCATTACCCCAAATGCATAATCACAGATTCAACCTCAAAGCAGGATCCAGCTTGATCCAGAAGACCCAAAACTAGGGTTTTCCTCTTCGATACGCAAAAGGGAAGAACAAGACAACTAACGACAACCTACAAACAACAATCACCAAACCAAGCTACTCTCTCTCTCTCCTCTCTCCACTTCCAATCATTTTCTTCAAAAACATTGAAGCATTACACCCTGCAAAGAAAACCCGCAATCAATTTTCTCCCGTTTTCCCTCTTTTTCCCGCGACTCAAGGGATATTCTCCTGCTTCTGTGTGGGATTTTGCTAGAGAGATAGAAATGAGAAACTTTGCTTTACAGTTTACACCCACTTTTGGAGAGAGAGAGAGAGAGGGGATGGGCTATGAGTGTCGGAGAAGTCACGGGTCAGGTCCGGTGAGGAAACCGTAGTGTGCTATGTTTCTCTGACCAATGTGACAGCGCCACGTCACAACATAAAAGCATAATCCTCATGCTCCACTTGCTTTTGACTAATCCTGATTAGGTCCTGCGATTAATCTCTAATCACAACACTAACTTCATTAAGTCCTAATATTTTTATAAAAAATGTGTTAAAAGATACGCTTATCTTTATATCTGTCACTAAGTCATTGTTGTTGTTGAAACGGATGCAAATGTAAATGCGCACATCCACCAGTCTCTTTCATATACTATAAAGTATCTAACTAAAAAATATTCAATAAATGATTTTTATTTCATAAAAAATGAAAATTGGAATTTGAATTAATTTCGAATATATTAAAATAAATAGTAAATATAAAATAAAACAGATATAATTTAAAAAAATGTAGACAAGAAGCGAAAACCAAGAATAGAAATGTCCATACTTAGTTACCACTTGTTAGCTGCCTCGTCTATTTATGTATGTTTAACTGCCACGTCTAATTTAAATTTAAAAATTATTAACAATTTAATATTTCGTCAAATCTTAATAGTGATATTGATGGCCGATCTATTCATTTTATTTTGTCTTAAATGTTGGTCAAACCAAACATTCAATGGATTTATTTGGTTTGGTGCAAGTAAGGATAGAATGACATTAATATTTCTATTTTTTGTCCTAATCAGTATGTCATATAACTTAGATGCGTAGATTACCAAATATAATTATAAAATTTAAAATCTATTATTTTAGTATATATTTTGTTGTTTTTTGTATACCAAAACTATATTGCCAATACAATCTCGTTTTTTTTGTTTGTCTAAATATTTCGAGATTTTATTTTCAAATGTCAAACTTTTCTATTTTCAAACGCATTTACTTTATATAAATAAATTACTGAAAATCAAATACACTACGTTTAATCAGGAATATTTAATAAAATAAACTAATCATAAAATATATGATTAGCGAGTTTGTAATCAATTTACTTTGGGTTATGATACTTAATCAAATAATTAAACATATAACACCGCTATGTCGGTTACTCTGTCGATGATGGGTTTCATTCAAACTTCCTAAGTAATCAGTTTATAAAATAAAACTATGTTGATGGTTTACCGAGAGAGACGGTAACAGGTCAGAAAGGGTTAGTTCCCAACTTCCTTGTCGACTTCGATTGGTACATACGAATTGGCATCTTTTACATATTATATCTTCGCCTGGGGCTTCGGGACCGGTAATTACAGGTAAACGACATTGTCCCAATCGAGAGGCACGTCGTTCGTGTCGGAGACGCTTGTGGATATTTTAATCGGATATTCAACTAATATAATGTAATAGAATAATGTATAATAAATAAATACAAAAGTGAAATCCGAATCCGATTAAAATGTAAAAAAAACGAAAATGAATCTTTTAGAGAATAAATGTTTAGTTCGTTGAAAACTAAATCCGAACGAAATTCAACAAAATTGATATAAAAATCAATTTATATAAAAAAATCGAATACAAAATAGTTGAACCAAAAATATAATCGAAAGTCGATGAAATAGATACCTATGCGTACATGACTTGTCCCATGCTATTTTCCATTAACATGGAATACATAATTAATTTGGATCTTCTATTTATTTGGTCCATTAACGAATTCTCAAAATATTTCAATTTAGATGTTTCCGACAATAGATTCTCATGACAAATTCAAAAGATTCTCCCTCGGAGAACTTTGAATACAAAGAAATTTCTTCAATGCAACACTTTCAGAGAGGGAGACCGAATTTTTTGGAATCGAACCGAACCAAACCGAATTTTTAGAAAACCGAATTTTTTGGAACCGAACCGAACCAAACGTTAAAAAAATTCCAAAAATGAAATTTTTTTAAAAAAATATATTTTTTTAATAAAAAATCGGAACCGAACCGAAAAGAACCGAATATAAAAACCGATTGGTACCTATTTTTATAAACCAAAAAAACCGAACCGATGCATTTCCATTCCAAATCCGAACCAATTCCCGAAATGCCCACCCCTAGTTCCAGATATTCGGTAACACGAAACTGTGGATTTGTTAGACCTGGTTTGGTACGGTATTTGATCGGTTTGATTTATTTGGTACCAGTCGATTATATATTTGATTTGGTTTTGGATTCGGTTTAGGTTTAGCTAGGCTCTTGATGAAACTCGATCACGAATCTTTCCTCAATCAGTTCAGCTCTGCTGGTATTGGAGGAACTATTGGTTATGCGTTTGTTTGAATAGAGGCTGATTGGTTTCGGTTCTGTGAAGAGTGGCCCCATCACCAGATTGCTGTAGTTTTTCCAAAACCGACATAAAAACCGGTTGATTGGTCCGGTTTAGTGAAATCGCATGTGAAATGAAATTGACCCGATTGTGTTTTGCATGTCCCAAGAAATTGAGAATTATCCGAAACATAAAGTTGGCATCTTTATATTCGACCCAAGAACACAGGAAAGAATTGGACCGATTCTCTCAGGTTATCGATTATGTTGAGAGTAACTGGAAATCTCTCGGCGGCAACTTCTCCGGTGGCGACTCTCTCCAACGCTCTCAGACTATCCCTTTTGCCGTCTCTCTCTTTCGCTTCCCCTTCTTTTCTCCGTCGCTTCTCGTCGTCTTCTTCTCCGTTTCTTCGCAAACCTATCTCCTTTCTCCGACCACGCATTCCCTCCTCGTTCTCCTCTAGGGTTTCGAAAATTTCGCATCCCAAATCGATGGGTTTGTTTCCTTGGCGCTCTCCATCTTTGTTCATCCGTTAAGAACCGTCTTCCCCGTACTTGTTACTTCTGATGAATGATGCTGTTATGTTCAGATTTTAGGCAAACCCATTTCTTAAACGGCTAATTCTTCTTCAAAGTTTGATTTTTGGACGCTCTCGGACTCAATTTGCTTCTTGAAATCTTTGTTCATATTTCAAATCTTCTTCTGTGCTACTCTTTATTCTTGATGGATTTTCATATCACCCATGTGGAATTACCCTTCTGTTTGCTGAATAATTATGTCTGCATCTTTGATCGCTGTCTTAATTTTTGGTAATTTCTGAGGTTTAGGGTTGTGTATCTTTCTTGTGGCAGCTTCGTATAGCAGTGAGAGCGGTCGGGGTACTTCCGGTAGAGAGGTTATGGTGCAGCACTTGCTTGTGAAGGGTGATGATCTTGAGCTCCTGACCGAAATTCAACAAAGAATCTTAGCTGGTCCGATTTCCTTCTTATCCCCTTTTTATGTTTTCTGAATATCTTTTCGGCTTACTTGTTCATTCAATGTTGATCCATATAGACTAGAGGATTTCAGGATGATTCATTATGTATCTAGAGTGAAATGAAATCAAGTTGAAGTTCAGTATAGTTATGCCTGAAAGATTCTATAATCCGGCAAACTCTAGATAAAAATAGCTCTTCTGAGTGACAATGTGGTAAGTCTGTAAAATATCTGTATGCTTCACTATATACCGGTGTCTACATTGTTCTTTTGCTCTTCTTGGGAAGGTGTGTTTCGTTACTTTAGCATTCAGGGTAAGTTGTTTATATAAAGTTATATCATTTTCATAGTTGGGTGTTCGATTCATTTGATCACAGATACCCAGTGAGATGGTGGTATAGTTAATGTTTTCACTCCGTCACCTCCATTCCTTTTATCTGTGTTGAAGATTATTTATGGTGTTTTTGTTGTTGTGCTTGTTAATTTTTGTGGTGTGAAGGAGAGGATATGGGTGATCTTGCTGCCGAGTACTCTATCTGCCCATCTAAAAAGGAAGGAGGTATGCTTGGATGGGTGAGAGTGGGTCAAATGGTATGCAGTTCTTCCAAAATCTATAATCCTTTCCCTTCATGTTCCTTTTTTTTTGTCTTGCCCCCTCGAGCTACGGGTTTGAACTTCATGTTGTTGTGGCATGTAATTGTTCATATCCATATGATTTGGTGTTTCTACTATATCTTGACATTGTAGATAAGAACCTACCATGTAATCTAAACTGGAGAGTTCTCGACGAATGTGAACCAATATCGACATGAAGATGGGAGGAATTTTCAGGATATGAACTTTGTCATAGTAGAATTTTCTTCTGGTTCCTTGTACAACTAGGACTGGGATAAGCTACTGTAAATCATTTCAGGTACCTGAGTTTGAGGAGGCTGCGTTTGAAACGCCTTTGAATCAAGTTGTTAGGTGTAAAACCCAATTTGGATGGCATTTGTTGCAAGTTTTATCTGAGAGGTATTCTGAAATTGATACTTGTTACATTAACATTCCATCAGGGAAAAAAAGAAAAAGAAAAAAGAAATTGTCATTTGTTAATGCTTCAGCATTGAGTTTATTTTTTTTTAAGATGTAACCTCTAAAAGATTTGTGGTAACAGGGAAGGGTTAAAAGAGGTAGGGGTGGAGGAGTTGCATTCCAAAATGCAAGACCCGGCGTTCATGGACGAGGCTCAATTAATCGACGTCAGAGAACCTGATGAGATGTATGTTCCTTATTCCCTCTCCTCATTGCTCGTCGGGGTTTTGCTGTTCATGGTGTTTAGTGCCTTCGGCAACAAAAAATTGAACATCATGTGTTCAATTTATGGACACAATGTTGATTATATGCAGACTTCTTTCATTTCTAAGCATAGAAAAGTCTGATTCACATGAAATCGGCCATGTATTATTCTAGCACTAGTCTCTAAATCTTCTGCAGCGCATGGCAAAATCGTTACGAGATTTTTAAGTTCGGTCCTGTAGTGATGAAGAGAACCTTTGTCATTGTCATTTCATAATTTTTTACCCTTAGAAACAGCGGCGAGGCATTAATAAAAGGACGTTTTTTTTTGCTGGTCCATTTTGAAAACTATATATATGTTTCTGTTCTCAGAGCCATTGCGTCCTTGCCCGGTTTCAAAGCGTTTCCACTCCGCCAATTCGGGAACTGGGCTCCGGACATTACTTCAAAGCTCGATCCTCACAAGGATACATACGTAATGGTACGCTTTTTGCACGCATCTGATTGCCGTCTTTCTCGGGCCGTTGAGTGTTTGACCTGTTTTTATGTTTCTCCGGAACGGCTCTGCAGTGTAAGGGCGGCATGCGGTCCATGCAGGTTGCAAATTGGTTGCAGAGTCAGGTAGAAGCTTTTGTAAACATATGTATACGTGTATATATATACACACACACATATATGCGTGTCTATATGTATCCAAAACAGCCTTTACTGATCATCTTCTGATTATGGTGTTTTGTCCTCAGGGATTCAAGAGAGTGTACAATGTAGCCGGAGGAATAAATGCGTACTCTCTCCGGGTCGATCAATCCGTTCCAACTTACTAATATTTTTGCATGAGAGAGTTCCAACATCATTGGATAGAGGAGGAGCTGAGGATGAAGAAGATTCAAGATTGTGACGCCATATCTTGAGACCATTTTAAGACGCAAATGTAAGGTTTCTGATTATTGCTTTAGTTATAATTTGATGTGAAGATTTGATATTCCCCAAAAGATAGTGTTCATATGAAAACTTGTCAAATTCCATCATAAAGTGGGAATCTTTACCCACGCAAAAAAAAATCGATTTTCTTTCGGTTATTTTTTATTAATTTCATTCCGAGTCAAATTCTTTTTTTTTTTTTTTTTGTGAATTGAGTGGTTTGGATCTTTCACCTAGTTACATCTAATCGCGTTTCTATCCAAAATATCCTCCTATTGTTACAACTATTTGTGCACGTATATGTTTTTATATGTAACCATGTTACTGAAATAATACTATCATAACGTTAAATTTATATTTAACGATGGTTTAATCAAATAATTAGTATGATATACAATAATTATTATAGTGATTTAGTGTGATTATTATAAAGAATTACTATGGTGATTTAGTGAGATCATTATAAATTTAACGTTAACGATGGTCAACGCACGATCATTCTGTCATTTTGAATATGCAATCATGTATTTTGGATAATACTCCATCTAATAAGATTCCTAAATCAGTTTTGCTGCAATTATGTATCCTTGTACCTTCCTGCGGGTTAGCATCGGGCACCATGAAGGATCGCTTCGAGCTGACCATCTCATACGTCTACCACCGGATCAGGACGGGTGATTCGAATTTAATTTAGGTTATAGTTATTCCCAACGGTTCGAAATTTAAACATCAATATAGATCAGATAGGCGGATGAAAGTTTATTTATATCTAACTCTAATCCAAACCATCCAGATTCAATTATTTTGTTTTTATTTTTCCTGTTAGAATCTCTTTTCTTTTTCCATACTAACTTTTTTGTCCCTTTGTGTAAAGTGACAAGTCTTCATTAAAAAAATCGAAAAACCTGATTCTCTGACTCTTCCTGCCTTGGAGAGGAGTGTGCCCTTCATCTGCAGAGAATTTTCTTCTCTCCATAGCTTTCATGAAAGGATCGAAGCAGAGGTTATACAAATGTTCACAGCAGATTCCAGCTGTTTCCTCACTCTCCCGCCATGCCGGAAGCTTCTTCGGCTTCGTCCTTCACAACCTCCGAAGAAGCTCTTTTCGCGACGAACCTCTTCGCCTTCTCCCATCTCTACTCGTTCCATCGCCCGGTTCCACAGGAGCCCTTCACTCACCACTTTTCCGCCATCGAAACGCTCGATTAGAGCTTCTTCTTCGTCTCCCTTGTTTTCTCCCTCTTCGAAGCCGACCAAGTACGACGTGTTCATCAGTTTCCGCGGTGAGGACACACGCGTGAGCTTCACGAGCCACCTCGCCGCCGCTCTCCGCCGCGATAAGATCGAGACGTTTCTCGACAACGATAAACTCCGCAAAGGTGAGGAGATTTCACCGGCGCTGGTGGAAGCAATCGAGGTATCGAGGATCGCCGTCGTGGTTTTCTCTAGGGATTACGCGTCTTCCAGGTGGTGTTTGGACGAGCTCGTGAAGATTCTCGAATGCAGGAAGAAGAATGGGCAGATTGTGTTGCCTGTCTTCTTCGACATTGACCCGACAGATGTCCGACGACAGACAGGGAGCTACTCGGCGGCGTTCGCTGCACATGAGGAGTATTACAGGAGGAGGTCTCCGGCGGCTGCGGCGAGGGTGAAGCGGTGGAGAGCTGCTCTGACGGAGGCTGCGAATCTGTCCGGATTCGATTCCACTGTCATAAGGTAAAAACATAGATCATATCTAGTCTTGTTTCGTAGGTAAACTTAAAGTTGCTTCACCAGGAAGGTGGGTTTGTCTTTTGACGGTTATGGATAAAAAAATGTAAGGCTGAATGAGCATGACGAAATCTGATTCTCGTTTATGCAATTTTCTAGTCGTTTTCCCGTTTCTATATTGCACAAATATTGTTTTTGGATAGGAGGGATTTGTGAAAGATTTTATTGCTTGACACTTTTGCCTGGAAATTACGGGTTTCTGCAAATTATTCTTCTGAGAAATGATGATACTGGAGATCAAGAATAATCTCAAGTGTAGGATACAATTTTTCATGATTTATTCTCCAAGGATACAATGGATTTACTTCCTTCAGTTCTCCTCTCCTTTGGCATCATTAGAGTTTTGATTTGGGATTTTATTGCCAGGCCTGAATCTGAACTAGTTAAGGAGGTTGTAACTTGCATTCTGAAGCACCTTAATGGTCTTAAGAGGGGAGGTAAAGACGATTTGATTGGGGTAGAAACCCTGATTGAAGAAGTGTTGAACTTACTAGGTAATGGAAAGGATGACATTCGGTGTGTGGGAATATGGGGAATGGCTGGCATTGGGAAGACTACAATTGCTGGAGCCATTTTTAATCACATCTGTAGTCGATTTGAAGGTTGCTGCTTCCTAGCAAACGTTAGAGAAGAATCTGAACGACGGGGGATTTTTAGCTTAAGAAGTGAACTGCTTTGCCAGATCTTTGACCAGCAGGATATAATTGTTTCCACCCCTGAAATTGGACAAAGGTTTCTTAGAGACAAACTCTGCCGTACAAGAGTTCTCATAGTTCTTGATGATGTGAGCAGCTTGAGACAGCTAGAGTTTCTGATTAAGGACGTTAATTACTTTCGTCCAGGAAGCAGAATTATTATTACCACACGAGACAAGGATGTGCTTAAGCATGGGGTTGATGTGATTTATGAGGTAAAAGGATTAGCTGATAGTTATGCACTAGAGCTATTCTTTCGGTGTGCCTTGAAAGAAACTGTTCCTTCTAATGATCATTTGCATATGGGTAAGAGGGTTCTACTATATGCAAACCGAAATCCTTTAGCTCTTAAGGTCTTGGGATCTTTTCTATGTCAGAAAAGTATAAAGGAGTGGGAAAGTGCACTCTATAGACTTCAGAAGTTACCTGATATAGAAATTCAGCGTATATTGCAAATAAGTTATGAGGATCTGAATGAGGAAGAGAAGGAGATTTTCCTTGATATTTCTTGTTTCTTCAAAGGAGAAGATAAAAGTTTTGTCACAAATATGCTCGATGGTTGTGGTTTTGCTGCAGATATTGGGATAAGAGCACTTATTGACAAGTCATTGGTTACAGTTTCACAAAATAAGCTTCAGATGCATGATCTGATACAAGACATGGGTAAAGAAATAGTTCGCCGAGAAGCTCCTCGAGAGCCTGGAAGACGGAGTAGGTTGTGGAGTCAAGATGACATCTTTGAAGTATTAACAAAAGATAAGGTAAATCCTTGGGATTAGAACTTTGGTTTGCATGTAAGAATGCATATGTATAATGTTTATTTTGCAGCTGACGCTCGTGTGGCTGACATTTGTCCAGCAACTCTTGATGTTTGAGATCTAACTGACAGCAATGTTACTTGTAATACATTACATTGAAATAGAAAGTAATGTTCTCTTCTGTTGTCAGGGAACTGAAGCTATCGAATGCATATTTTTGAATTTGTCTCAAGCAAAAAAGATGCAGTTGAGCCCTCAGGCATTTTCAACGATGTGTAATCTTAGGTTTCTTAAAATTTACGATACAGAAAGCTCACAAGGCAATTGTAAACTAGACCTTCCTGAAGGCCTTGAATTTCTGTCCGACAAGCTTACATATCTCCATTGGCACAGCTATTCTTTGAAATCATTACCGCCAAAGTTTTGTCCTGAGAACCTCGTTGAACTCTCGATGAAGTACAGTAGTCTTGAGCAACTTTGGGATTGCACGAAGGTATGGAGTTTTAAATGCGGAAAAATATGGATTTACGTGTATGTGTCTCTCTAGATATTATGAATATATGCACACAAACATTTATTCTCGTCTTGGTATTACAGGATGTAAGGAATCTTAGGAGGATTGACCTGAGCTATTCGACAGATCTCAAGGGCATCCCAGACCTCTCGGGATCCGCAGCACTTGAGTGTATCAGTCTCCGGGCCTGCAGAAATCTTGATGAACTCTCTAGCGTTAGTTGTAAGCTAAAACAACTTAAGTTTTTGGACCTATCAGGGTGCTCAAATCTGGCTGAATTTCCAGAGATTTCATGGGACTTAAAGGAGTTACTCTTGGAAGCTACTGCAGTGGAAGAGCTTCCTCTGACCATTAGGAACTTCACTCAACTCGTCAAATTAGATCTGGGAAACTGCAATAAGCTCAAGAAGGTTCCGAGTATCGATTATGAGTTAGAATCACTGGAATATCTGAATATGTCCGGCTGCTCAAGTATCACAACTTTTCCAGAGATCTCTAGGAGTTTGAAAACATTGATTTTGAACGGAACTGCAATAAATGAGATCCCAGCATCCATCATCGTCCTTGGAAAACTGGTTTTCCTGGATCTGCAGAACTGCAGAAGCCTCGCAAGTCTTCCGAGCTGTATCTGCCATTTAAAGTCTCTTCGAGAGCTCAATCTGTCTGGCTGTTCAGACTTTGATTCATTCCCAGAAATCCTTGAGAGAATGGATGCTTTAAGTTGTCTCTCTTTAAATGGAACTGCCATCAAAGAGCTTCCTTCATCAATCGATCAATTACATGTGCTTTCTTCACTAGACCTTGGAAACTGCAAGAGTCTTGTTAGCCTTCCAGATGGATTTTGCAGTTTGGAGTCCCTCAAAGATCTAAATCTCTCTGGATGTACAAAACTTGAGAACTTGCCGAAGTGCTCAAGTAATCTAAACTCGATGAGGATGTTGAGAGCAAATAGATGTAATGGTCATGTTATAGCATTGCTATTGGAAAGCTTGCTTTCTCTGAGGATTCTACATCTAAGTGACTGTGGATTGTCAGAATTTCCTGAAACTTTGACTCAATTGTCGTCCTTGATGGAGCTTGACCTCAGCCGAAACAATTTTGAAAGGATACCTCCGAGCATTAAGGAATTTAATGATCTACGAAGTCTTGATCTGACTAATTGTGAGAGGCTTCAATCCTTACCACAGCTTCCAGGTGGAATAAGAAAATTAGATGCAAGCAACTGCACAGCCCTTGAAACAATATCGGGCAACAAAAGATTTAACATTCAGATTTACCCCTTAAACTATGTGGAGACCTTTGTGTTTGCAAACTGCCACAAACTTGGTCAAGATGCGCAGAACATAATCGCACAACAAGCTGAACTCAGACTTCATGCATGGATGTCCCTTTCGAGCTTTATGTTAAATTTGATAACCAAGACATCTCCGTTTACGTGGATGCGTTCAGAACAAATCAGGTACTTGTTCAATAGGATGCATGAATATAAAGACTATAGTGAAGCACTACAAGGATTGTATCATGGTCTCTTAAATGAAGAGCCTGAGCCAGGGAAAAGCCCTTATACCATGATGCTCCGTATTCTCAGTGCCATTCATAGACGCTCTAGGCTTGATGTCCAAGGACATTTTAGATTTTTCACCTGGGCTACACTTCTCTCTTTGTCTTACCAAGACAAGCCTTCAACAAGCTTTTGTTTTCCAGGAAATGGAGTCCCAGAATGGTTCGAATTCCAATGTGTCGGTTTTCAAATTAGCATGAATTTTCAAACTGATAAACAGTCAAATGTTCCTAGTCTGTTTGTGGGTTTTGCTATTTGTGCTGTTGTGGACTTCCAAAGCTACCATGGTGATAATGGTTTCAGTGTCAAATGTCAATGCCACTTCCACACCAAGAAGTTTGATTCGTTTGATATAGTTTGCTACTTGAGGGGCTGCAGTGGACATAAGGGTGAATTCATGCTGGTAGAAGGGGATCATCTGTTCGTTGGCTATGACTTTTCTTTAATATTTGATGCGGCTAATGGAAGTAAACGGTTGTTCAGCTTTTCTCAGATTCTCCACGAAGTCTCATTTGAGTTCTCCGTGGTTGATTCGGATGACAATCCGTTAGATTGCTGCAGAGTGACAAAGTGCGGAATCCTCCCGCTTTACTTCAATGATACGGTTGGTTATCACCTAGTATTTTCTCTTGTCATGCATGTTTTGTTTTCCTTTGGTAATTTACTTATTCCCACCTTTGGCCTTCACCTTTTCCTGTGCATGACCCATAACCTTCCTTCCTTCATTGGCTGATCGTGAAAGGTATAAATATACATTTGGATGTCTGTTTATTCTCATGCATCTAGTCAAAATATTGATGTGATTCTCTCCGCATAAACTTAACAATTTTTTTTTTCGTGAAAGCACGACTAACTTGAAAGAGATGAAAAATATTGTGTTAGGCTTGCCTTATCATTGGTTGATAACTGCTACTCTCTTAATCTGTTAGTTATTCTGAGTCTGACCTCATAATTATGTTAGGCTTGATACCTTCCTTCAGCACTGTTCTCCACGTATATTTTTGCATAGCAGCTTTCTGAACCTCACTTTTCCCTCAAATTGTAGATCCCATCTGGAAATCAGATCTCAAAGGGACATGATAAAGGCAAAGAATGGATACAGGTATCCTCGAGAATAGTAGCCGAGGTTAGCTTCTTAATCTTTATCTTGGGTAACTGTGGTGCACTTACTGAAACAATTCTGAGGCTAAGGATTAAAGTTTCTGATCTTTACGAAATTCTAGTTTGATTAGAAAACTGTCTCATTGTTATTATATGTTGATCTTTCGCTCTCAAAATGGTCAAAGCTACTTCTTGGCATATGTAACAAGAAAACAAATGCCACATGTGTAAGGATCTCTGACCTTGTGTTCCCATTCTCTTCTGCTGTTTCCTATCTTATGACTTTACAGGCATTTAAAGGTTACGGCATATTCAGGATGTTATTTTACAGCATCCTCAGGATTGGCAAGTTATCCATGGATTTTGTTCACAAGGTACTGATATATCTTTCATAGATCACTAGATGCAAGAATTGGATGGTGACTTGTTCATTGCAGCTACTGCATAAGTATATCATGTGTGGCATACATGGCTACTTCATATGTATATCATGTGTGGCATGCAACATTGGTGATCTTGAACTAAATCACAGTTTCTATACTCCTGACATATCATTGTCTCCTCCGAGGTTTCGTAGGCAGATATGAGTCGTGATCTTGCATCTTAAAGCATCCATTCTTTTAAGAATTTTGTAATCTTCTGGAAACAACGAAACAATTGTCTGTACACATATGTATGTATGTGTTTATAGGGATGAGATTTGAATCCCTGTGGTTACTTTAACTTTCTTCAATATATACGTATCATATCTTTCAAGAACCTATTGAGAAAAGAAAGATACAGTAGAAGAACTTTGATCGTATCCATTTTTGGATCGTATGACCTTGCAGGGTGGAAAGATCTATCTTTTTCTAGCATACAGTTTTGCAGGTCATGAGATATTTAGCATCCTGCTAGAAGAACCAGAAATTTCAGGTTGATTACTTCATTCGCATACTTGATTTTAGCCATTGAGTTTCTGAAATCCTTTGTTTCGTTAGGACTCTTGTTTAATTATGTTTCGTTAGCCATTCTGGACTTCCCAAGGATTTCAGAAACTTCAAAACTAATGACGTATCATATCTTTCGTTAGGACATCCTCGAAATGTCATTAGTTTTGAAGTTGAGCCCAAAGTACCACGTCGAGACAATGGCCGATTGTTAAAGCACGGACAAAGTCTCAAGCCAAACGATTCTGAGGTATAGATCTTCTATTCATATGGTTTTTCTCTTCTAATGTAATTTTTTTGTCATAACAAATCAAGGAATCATTTCTATAGTGGATGACGAGCTGCTTTTGTGTTTTATGTTTGGCTATTCAGCAGAAACCATCAACAAACAAAACATCCAGAGCAGCAGACAGGAATGGTGAAGCAATAAACTTGTCGATGCTCCTAATTTCCGTGAGTTTTTGCTCTACAAATTCCAATTCTACTCTTTGAACTGGTAGAGGTGGAATATCACAATCTTTTCCATGTATTCTGTTAATTTTTTTTCTTATGCATTCTGAAAGTTCAACGACTTTTCCAATGTGCAATAACAGCATAATACTGCGCCATTCTAAAAGTGCTAAATCCTAATTTCTCATGCACAACATCGGCCAAGAACAACGAGTTAACGTTTATTTACCATTTTGTTTTCTTTGCGGCGTTCTTGATGTTCTTTGGCTTTCAGGTCATCGGCATTGTTGGACTTTCTTGGTGTTTCATAGTTGGACCCTGCAACTAAACTGTGACTACGATCTCTGTAATCTTCATTTCTATTTTTTTTTTCTTCTGATTTAGACTTGGCTGATTATGCCTATTCTTTTGGAGATCCATGTGTTTAGCTTTGGTTGTGTTCTTAGAAAATGAATCTTGCACTGTCAATATGTTTCAGGTTGATACCGCTCTATTGAACCGGGAAATAACGTTTCTCTCCGAGAACCCAGAACAGTGGATTCCCCAGACATTGCACAGAAAGATCCGTATGTAACTTGTACAATTTTATTCGAATTCAGTTTGTGGAATCGTGAAATAACTAATGAAAACGGGGAACTATAGAATTGTTCTGGTGGCTTATAAGTATTTTCCAAGTACCTTATAGAAATTATTAGAGAGATTGGCCGGTTACGTGGTTTGATTAATCTTAGTCTATATAGTTAAAGTTTTTTTCTTTTTGTTTCTATCGCCAAAACTCTCCAATTGAATTATGAGGATTTGTTTATACCCAAGATGAAACTGGGTCGCAAATTTAGTGGTTGACGTGATGTGGACTAGTTTCTCCAAGTGTCTTCTTCCGCAAAAACATCAACCAATTTTGTTATGTGATGTAAATGTGCGAAACGTATTAAAATAAGTTTATCATATATATATATATATATGTATGTGTGTGTGTGATAATAGTAATAAATGGTAGAACATAAACATAGTTGTCCATTTGATTGAACAGTCATGCCTAACCGGGAACATAAACAAAAGTCTCCACACAAGAAAAAACTACGGCCACAAACACAATGGTAGGTTTTCCGTCTTCCGCGAACCGAACTATAGCTCCCGACTCCCGTTTTCGGTGTTCGATTTCGGTTTGGGATTAAAATATTTGGTTAACAAAACCAAACCGAACTATACCGAAGAGAACCGGGATTTTCCTTTTCCTCATAGTCCCTAACCTCCATTTTTCTTCCTCTCGACCAAACACTCTCATCCGCCGGTAAAATTCCTCGCCGCCGCCCTCCCCGTCATCCCAAGGCAGTTCTCTCTCTCTCTTTCCGGAGAAGAGACCTGAACCAATGGCCTGCAATTCCTCAGATTGTTCTTCCGGTTGCTCCGGTCTTAAGTCGGAAAATGGAAGCAAGAGTGACGGGTCGTCGGTCGGCGACGGCAGTATTCGGGAGAGCGTATGCGTCAAGTGTAAGAGCAATGAACCCGTGTTCTTCGCTGATGGTGCCTCCGAAGACGGCAAGTTTTGCTCCGATTGTTTCAGGAACAACGTCTTCGGGAAGTTCAGGCTCGCCGTCACTTGCCACGCCATGATCACTCCTTCCGATAAAGTCCTTGTCGCTTTCTCTGGTGGCCCATCTTCCAGGTTTCTCCCTTCGTCTCGTTCTCATACATATATGGGTGTATGCGTGTCTGTATCTGTGTGTGTGATATTGTGTCGTGGTGCGTGTGTAGATGTGTATGTTTTCCATAGGGTGGTTGTGTAATTGTGCCGATTTTGATATTAGGGTTGCTCTTCAATTTGTGCACGAGCTGCAAAAAAGGGCGCAGAAGAATTATGAGGCGAGTAGAGATAGATCTTTGCCTGTATTTGGTGTCGGGGTTGTGTTTCTGGATGAAACTGCTATTGATCCTACTCTCTCTGGTGAAATCAATGATGCAATTGAGTTGATTCGAACTGTGGTCTCAAGTTTGTCTCCACCTGCAAAGCATCTCCATGTTGTTCCAATCGAAAGCGTTTTCGGGTTAGACTCTGCTGAGGCACGAGATAGGCTCCAAAAGCTTTTAGATTCTGTTAGCGATGATACAGGAATGGAAGATCTGCTACTGCATCTCCGGATGCTGTGTTTGCAGAAGGTTTGGCTGTACAGTTTTCTTGTTTCTTGTAGAAAGTATATTCGTGAAAACATAACCCTTTCCGATTTTTATATCAAGCATTGTTTGGTATATCTTTTCAGGTTGCATCTGAGAGTGCCTACAATAGATTAATTCTAGGATCATGCACATCGAGAATTGCTTCCCATGTTCTTTCTGCCACTGTCAAGGTGTGTTTTTTGATGGTTTCCAGTTTCCATTGTCTGTTAGTTTCTTTGGTTCGTTTTTTTTTAAACACATATTCCATTTGTGTAATTAGCAATGGATTCCCATGCTTGAAACATAAGCTGCATAGTGCCAAGCCAAAGCTTGTTGGTAAAATGAGTTCTTCACTTCTTCAGACAGTTTAGTTCCTAGCAATGTTAGCACCATAGCTCTTTTGCTTATCTCTACCTCTGTGAAAATTCAAGTTTTGACTTCAATATGCTGTGCTTTGACATTTTGTCTTGACCACGATTGTTTAACTGAACTTGGGAGTTGGGAGCTTAATTGTCTTATACTTGAGACAGGGACGGGGTTATTCACTATCAGCAGATATACAGCATGTTGATGCGAGATGGAAGGTACCTGTTGTGCTTCCACTCCGTGACTGTGTTGCGCAGGAGTTAAACAGACTTTGCCGTCTGGACAGGTTTGTACACTGGTTACCTGTGCCATCTTTCTTTCTCAATTGTTTCACAATTTATGATATTTGTCCAAAAATTAGCTGTTTTCTAGAGTATCGTATCCATTACTAAGAGACATCTGGCTCATTCTGGGCAGTGCAGTTTACAGATTGTGAAGTTGGGTCATCCTCATTCTGGCATCAATGGTTTGGTGTCATCATTTGTGGCATTACTGCAGGTCCTAGTCCTCCTTTTAGGCTTCTTCTTTCGGATGCATATTCCATTTGCACTTTGTTTTCTTTTTTCCCTCTGCTTCCTGGGCAATTCTGCTGAGCTGTAACCTGCAACTATCCTGTCACTGGGTTATTGCATAAATGGGGTATTTTCATTTTTGAGATTTCATACATTTAGTATCCTTCTCTGTACCTCTAGTGAGATACTGAGAGCCATTCTACATATATATGTGAGAGAGGTCAAAATACAGTTTGCTTTGTTCATTTATCTGATCCTAATCAAGTTTCTCAAGGCTCCCATTTGGAAGTTTCAAATCCTTTAATCTCTACTTTTTATTTGTTTTGCAGGAAGAAAACCCTTCTCGTGAATGCACCATCGTACGAACAGCTGGAAAGCTTACGCCATTTTACTTCAATAAAATTCCTGAAATAGATGATTCAAACGTTCCTTTGGCTACTCGGAGGCGTCAAAAGAGATTCAATCTGAAATACAATGAAGCTATGACTACTGAATACTTCTGCCCCATCTGCTGTGGCCCTCTAAATAAATCAGATGTGTCAAATTTGAGTGAATCTGAGGGCTGTCAAGATATTGAAGTCTTTTATGCTGCTTGTTGTTCAAGTTGCCGGTTTCAAATACTTCCTCATGGTCAAGCATCTATCGAGCAGTTCTATTCACTTATACCACAGCAGTTGACGTCCCAAGAGAAGCTTCAAAAGGCGGACACTCAAACTTTGTTAAGGTAAATTTGGACACTGCCACATTAATCCACTTCTCTTGTTTTGTAATTTATACGTGAGTTAAACCAACGAGTGGGCTTGGAGGGAACCAGTCAACTCAGGAACCTGAACTTAATTATCATGATGTTTATATCTAAACCTCCTAGAATCGACTAGAAACTTCAAATATTTTTATTTCCACCCTTCAGGGAGAAAATAGAGGATTGCTTGCTTTCGGACGGTGAAGAGGAGATCTAAATCCTTGATTCAGATCCATGACTTCTTGGCTTGCATAACAAATTGCACAAGGTAAGGTAATAAACTCAGAAACCAATTGATATTCTATAAGAAAACAGTCGGGAATGTCACAAGGCACCTCTTTGATCAGATAGGGTTTTTCCTTCTGCATCACCAGGCACCAGCTATGTGGCAGAGTTCCGGCGGTGGAACCGATGGGATCCGATCGAACATTCTGCTGTGGAAATTGAGTCAGAATTGGCGCAAAATTCAGGTGTATCCATATTACAACATGCATTCATTCATATTCCAAGCAAACACGCATGTGTCACCACTAAACAAAGCACCTTTCTTGTTTGTTTTTCTTTCTCATAATCTATAGGTTTTACAAAATACCATTAAAACAATGTTTAGAGCTCGGTCTTTCGTCTAAAAATACCATGAGTTGGCTCATTGGGCAGAACATGGAAAGAACATTATCAATCTGATGGGTTTTTCCAATGGACGGATTTTTGCATTGCTTGCTTTTGTATCTTGAGAATGTTGAGGGACTTCGATCAGAACCATCAACACAGAAGATTCACATCCTCCAGAAACAGATTATGAGGTCATGACCGTTGTTGTACTGCAATTTCGACTGTCACTTTGGATATTTTACGATGCTTATATTTGGGTGTCCAATTTGGTTTAATTTCACATCAGTTTTATTTGATTTTTTTTTCTATTTTTATTCCAGTTCTTTAAAATACAGTTTTTATTGATAAAAACTCTTTTTTTAAAAAAAATTTTCCGGTTATATTTTTATTCGGTTCAATTTAGTTCGAATTTCGGGTTTTTTAGTCATTTGGTTTTCGTAGTAGATTTGTTTTGATTGTATTATTTTTATACGGTTTATTAACCAAATTGGTCGCTCTAGTTTGTATGTTAGAATATAAAACAGAGTATGAAGCAAATTAAATTGTCACACCAATGCATATCACATCTTCAATGAGAAGAACCCAAGAAAAGTTACAAATGGAATGCGTTCCCTCAATCAAACTTCCTCTTCGTACTCAATCACGAAAGAACCAACAGTTTGTCTTTGGACGAATCATATAATTTAATCAATTTTATAGATTAAAAGCATAGTAATATAATATATATATATACATGTATATAACAAACGTGTTCTATTATAAGATATGACCGACATTCATGCCGCCCATTTTCTAGAATTCGTATTCTATAATTGAAAATTTGCATGTTTTGCCGTTCTCAATTCAGAAACTAGGGGGGTAAAATGGGTTCTGGTCTCGGGTTGGTTCGCGAGCCGGCCCATATTCTTCCGAGATGGGCTGAGAATAATTGAGTCCAGAAAAAAACGGGTCAAACGAGCTAGCCCATCACGGGCCGGGTTCGTGGCGAGCCAGCCCGTCACGC